ATCTCCAATTTAAAATTACAATAACCATGTTTTAAAATAGATTTGTATATATTACTTCTATATGAAACTAGGTATTTTTTAAGTCCCCCCCACATCCCCGTAGAACACCCTTGTTTCTTGGCGCCGTGCGGCTCACTTTTGGCGCGACGACAGATGCCGTCCAGCAACACAAGCGCTTCTTCGGCGACGGCGAAGACGTCAAGGAGGCCGACGACCGCAGCATGGGCTCGGCCGCCGCCATGCAGGCCTTGAAGATGTTCTCGGGCGGCGGCAGCGGCACCTCTCAGGTACGAAGCGGGGCCACGTATTAGTCGTCGTCATCCGCGGCGGATGGGCTAACGTGCAGACAGCAGAGCAACAGCCAGAGCGCCTTCATCGGGCTTGCCATGGCCGAGGCTAGCAAGGTGAGTACTCACGGTGATCGGCCCCGGGATCGGGAGAGACGCAGCCAGCTGACACGTGCTGCCAAACGCACAGCTCTTCGACCAGAAGGCGGCCCAGGGCCAGGTCTCCAGCGGCGCGAGCAAGGAGTCGGCCGTCATGCAGGCCGGCGAGATGGCTCTCAAGTTCTATCTCAAGAGCCAGGGCGGCGGGCAGGCCTCTTCCTCTTCCGGCCTCATGGGGCTGGCGTCCAAGTTCATGAAATAAGCGGGCTGGTCCGCAGGTCTGTACATGCGTGGAAGTGCCGATAGTTTGTCGTCGATGTGTTCCGCCCCTTGAGTTCGTAACAGCATGAGACTGCGTGGTCTATAGTGTGATGAGAATACAGTCAACTCAAAAACGTATGTGAGCATTACGCCAAGTGGTCATAAGCCGGTTGATTGCGTGCCTGTTCCACGAACACATATCCTTTATTCGGAACCGTTTTAGAGTGGGTTGTTTAGACGTTCCCACGAGACCAGTCTCAACTACAGATCTAATCGCCCTTTTGCCTTGCAAAGAGAGTGAGAGGTCACATATACTCATACATATCACATATTCCAGATATCAGGCTATGTAGCAGAGTCTTGTTTTCTCATTGTGTGTGGCCTAGGCCTTACATTTGAATCTCGCCAGTGCCATATACTCCCACGCTCCAGTTCACCTAACTTTTCACCCGGAAGCGCGTGTGTCAGTATGGAAACAGTGACGTATCGTCAATTCTCCATAGACACACCAAAGCGATGCCCGTCCCCAGCTCATCGCACGCTGCGGTCTTCGCACGACCGGAGTCCCAATCTTGTGGTCTCTTCGAAGGGCGAGCGAGAGCTGCCTCCACAAGAGGAGCTTGCATCCAGAGTCTGTCTTCTCTTCAAGCAAAGCCCGCCAAGAGTTCCTCTGGGACGCATAGCGTAGGGTCCAGCTCCTGCCGCCCCTGTATCTGACAAAGGGCACATGGGCGAAGCGTTCACCTATCCTGACACGCAGCAATCTGCGGCACAGCGCCCGGCGCCGCCTCTTCCCTCCGCAGCATCGAGGCGCGGGCAGCAGAACCCCCACTGTCACGGGGGCTTGGGCGGACTCGCCTATCTCGAGGGAGGACTCGCCGCGGTATTCCCACAGCACGGGGCGCGGCGGCCACAGTCCCGAACCCGGATCATGGGCGTGTAGTTCGTAGTAATCATTCGACGTGTCTTATGACCGAAACCTCGGGTTGCTCATTGCCACATACCCTGGGGCTGCTGATGATGGTGGTGATGTCCATGGGGGCCATGCGACCCCGGGGCACCGAAGGCCGGGACGGGCCCGTTGTTTCCTGGGGCGCCGTAGGGCGGGATCCGGTGGATCACTATGCGACACGCGTGTTAGTACTTGCCTCCTTAACCTGTCGTAGGGAGGTGCCACCCCCGGTTCAGATAAACTTACGAGGCCCGGTCTCCCGGTACGCCGGGGGCGGGGGCGGAGGATCGGCAGGGCCCGGCGGGCCATGGTGGTGATGGTGATGTCCGTGCCGCGGAGGAGATGGAGGAGATGGAGGAGGCGGAGGATGATGGTGGTGGTGCCCGTGCCGTCTGGGCGGAGACGGCGAACACCTAGGCGGCGGCGGCGGTGGAGGAGGTGGTGGTGGTGGTGCAAAGCCAGGGGGTGGGTGGTGCACATTGCCGGCGTTGATCACGGGGATGCGGTCGATGAGCGGCACCTGGGGACGATGCTGGTGGCCGTGGTGGTGATGTCTTGGGGGCGACGGCGGCCCGCGCATGGAGATATGTGGTGGAGAAGGCGACCGGTGTGCCGGGCCGTGGTGGTGGTGGTGGTGGTGATGATGGGGCCCGTGGTCCGGGGGCGGCGGGGGGCCGTGTTGATGATGGTGGTGGTGGTGCATGTTCTTGGATGGGCGTCTATCGCTCGGCAAGAGGAATTTTCGTGTATCTGACAACACCACAGCGACGGGCTCGAACGGATGCGGCCTTGCACCGTCCTATATAAGTACTCATTTCGACATGCAACCCAGATTCGCGGCTTTCGGCAGGGCGAACACTTGGCGGGCGATGCACAATTGCGACGCAGCAACCCACATTCTCCACTGGCGCCGCGTGTGCAGGCTAGGGCGGTGCTGGACAGGCAGGGTGAGTGACGATCGTCGGCCGGCGGCCGCGACTCATGAGTGTCTGGGCTGGGCTATGCTCGAGCGCAGCGCTGACTAGACCCGCGTGCTAATTACACCTGCTAGCCCTGGAGCGACACGCAACCTGGAATGGCTGAATGGGCCGGCATCGCGAAATGACGTATGACGGGACTTCTTGGGTCGATGAAGATACTCATCTCCTGCCGCACCGATCCAAGAACCTCTGGAAAATGTGTAGCCTCGACAAGTGTGTTTGCGAGCCTCGCAGGACGGTAGCTCACAGGGTTGGCATGTAGCAATGTCGCGCTGTCTCTGCGCACACGGGTGGTGAAGGTGAAACTAGAAGAGTTGTCAAGAATACATGTGATCTATTGTAGCATCAAATCAGCGGACAGGAGATGCTCTGTCGCGGCCGCCGTCTGTATGGTGTGTTCCTCTTTCTATAACCCTGAACCGCTACTCCAGGAAGCGCGCAGCTGTCTGCGCAACAGTGATGATGTCGACCGAATTTTCCCGCTATACTAACACATGTTTTGTGGTGTCATACCCCATAAAGAAAAAAGCCACCTCCTATGCCATACAAGTGAGGGTAAACAAAGGGACAAAAAAAAGGAGACGCCCGTGTCTCCAAATGAGTGACACCCTCTGCCGAGAAGTGTCAGGTATCCATGAAGTGATGATTTGATGCGTGCTGAGTAACGATGCTTTAGTTCGAGTCACCCTTCTTGGGCTCTCTCTGCTCCTTCTGCTGCAGCTCGGCGCCATCGGCCTCGGCAGCCATGGCCTCGTTGACCTGGGCCTTCTCAACGCCGGCCTGCTCGGCCTGTGCCTGACGCTCCTCCTTCTCGTCGATGTCCTCGACATCACGCGGCGTGGCCATGCCTGTGTCTTGGTTCTCCTGGTCCTGCTTGTTCTCCTCGTCGATGAGCTCCTGCTGCTCCTTGAGGACCTCGAGACGCTGCTTGTTAGTGGCGGCGCCCTCGGCGTTGTGCACCTCGAGCTCGATCTCGTGGTACAGCTCCTCGGGGATGGACGACAGGACGCCGGTCAGGGCCTCGATCTGGCTGTGGAAGCTGCCTTCTTCCGTCTTCTGGCCGTACATGTAGGCGTTGCTCAGCACGAGCAGCGTCGAGGGGACACCGTGCTTCAAACGCAGTTCCAGCCACGACTGGAGCTCCTCGCGTAATCTGGCGGGAGAGACACCGTGTGTCTTGATGCCACGGCTGCCGCAGGCCACCTGCAGCTCGGCGACGTTCAAGCTGTCGACGCCCTCGTAGCTGATGGCCTTGTCATCGCGCTTGATCTGGCGCATTCTGTGGCGGACCTGGTAACGCAGCATCATGTCGGTACCAAAGGTGTTGAGGTTCATGTAGCGGCACATGGAAACAAGCTGTGGCCTGGACAGGTTGTCGAGGGTCAAGTCGTCCCTGAAGATCTTGCACACCTTGATGACGTCCTCCGTGGTGGGCTGCTCTCCTGTGGCCCTCAGCTTCCGGAAGAAGGTAGCGAACTCTTCCTTCTGCGCGGTTGCCGGGGTCAAGGGCAAGCCGGTCTCGAAGAGGGTCGATCTCAAGAAGGAGCTGACCTCTTTCCGGGTGGCCCGGAGGGTGGCGGCCTTCTTGTCCTTGGACTGCTGAGCCTCGTATGTGCTGGGCAGCAGGTTGGGGAAGAGCTTCAGGGCAATGGGCAGCAGAGCCTCCGCGAAGGGGACGATGATGAAGACTGAGAAGGGTACCAGGCGACCCAGGTCCTGGACTGTCCGCTGGAGCTGGCGGTTCTCTCTCCGGGTCAACTCGTAGCCGGCGGCCATCTTCAGTGCTAGTCTCGTGCTGATCTTGACCTCGGTGGCCAGCAGCTTGGTGCCGTCCCAGTAGTGCTGTATCTCGTGCCTAATCTTTTGGCCCAAGGTCAACTTCTTGCCTTGCTTCTCCTCCGTCTTCTGCGCCTCGGCGTCCTTCTTGGCCGCAAGCTCGGTCAGGGTCTTGGGTTCGGCCGTGGACTCGCCGGCAGGCGCATTCGCGGCGTGAGCATCGGCAAGCTGGCCGGACTTGCCGTCGGCCTCTGACGCCTTTTTCGAGGCCGACTTTGAGTCCTCGGGCTTGAGGGGCTGCTTGGCCTTGTTGATGTCGAAGCCGGGGGGCGGGCCGGTCGACTGCCCCGCCGAGTTGTGCTCGGTAGACACGTATCTGCCGGGGATGAAGAAGGCGACGGCCGGGGTGTTGGCGGGGAGATTCCTGGCATAGCGGCCAAAGTGTGCTGATGAGAGTCCGACACCAGGTCGTAGAGCAGGTCGTCCAGCGAACGGGTTTATCGCCACCGCCCGGCGGGCAGCAACTCTGGAAGAGGCGCTCATGACGTGTGGGGTGCTGCGTGGGCGCAACGGGCGACTGTTGTGTAGAGAACGGGCGGGAATGAATGGAGAAGAAGGAGGATAATACAGTCAATGAAGTCGCCGGAGGTGGGTGTATGTTGAAAGACCATGGGATGAATCTGGGCGTCTAGTGCTATGCTAAGTAATTGTACTGGATGCGGGCATGGACGGAGCTGACTCGGCTCAATGCGTTTTCCACAGGTACGGGGGGTCCCTTAGCAAGCAAGCAGGCAGGCTCTGGCAAACACAGACACGCCCAGGCACACGCTCCGGCCAAGGAAGACCGGTAAATCCGACCTATTGGATGGAACGGGGGCCCTGGGTGCACCCGTGGACCCCGGCCTCGCCCATACGTCGGCGCGGAACATTCTCTCTTCCGTATTTCGTTGAGGAGGCCGAGCGGGTGGACTCTCCCACGTCTGCGAGGGCTGTGGGCTGATGACACATGTTCTGCCAAGGTTCTGTCACATTCTAGGCTCGCACGTCACACTCCACACATGGTCGCACGCAGATTTGGCAGACAGGACAGGGTAGGGGTGGTGGTGCAGCATTCTGTCAGCCGGTCGGTCTATAACTTATGTGTCGCGGCAGCATAGGGGGTGGCCCAGCGGCCGTCGAAAGCCACCGCAAAGTATATGCAACCACATACCACAGTGTTCACGCTTTGCATTTCCCTCTTGCCTCTGACCTGTCCCCTGGGCATCCAGTACAGTGCTGGAGAAGGGGAACCGCCATCTATGCTTAAAATAAACTTCATCTTTCTGGGTTTTCCGTCTGATCGATGCACCATCCGTCCGCATACATAGCATTTCCCCCTGCGAAAACTCTGTACCACGTCGCTTCCCAGTCTTGTTCTGCAAATAGATCGCTCTGATGTCGGATGACTAGCTCTCATAGAGTTTCAACCACTTGACCACTGACTACTTCGGCAATGGCGACGGCGGGCGAATACATGACAGCCATCCCCCGAATAGACTTTTTCATCAAAGTGCGCCACGCCGCTCCCGGATATCTACCAGGCTAGTGCCTAGGGTAACTCTACATAGCACACAGTAGAGCAGTAGGCACGGCGCCGTATGCGGTTCAGAGCAGACTTATTCAGCATCAACATTCACAAACACAGAAGACATCACGGCGAAAGAGACAAAATAAGGTGGGTGTTTGCAGAGATCGCATTCTGTTTACGAAACATCTGCACCTCGGCACCTCGCTACTGCTTCCAGCTTCAACGCACCACCTATCCACTTTTTCTCACTCTGCTCTCAGGAGCGCTCCCTTTCATGCTATGCTACGCTGCAGTCATCTCCTTTGTAGGAGTTGTCTCCCTCTCCTCCAAATTTGGGCTTCATCATGCCCTGGATGTGTGGCATCTGCGATCCTTGGTTGGCCGTCTTTGCGTGTCTCTTGATATAGAGATCAGCAATGTAGTGACGGCATGCTGTACCTCGAAGTTTTTTTCTTCTTCCAGAGCTTTGCTCTGGAGGGAGAGATCTGAAGGGAAGTGTACCGAAGTACACTCCTTTTTCGGCATAAGTGGCGTTGCCAGCGCCATCCTACAACTCGGCTCTAGTAAACTAGGCGAGGAGGGAATTCTTTTCTGGTAGCATAAGTAGCGTTGCTAGCGCCATCCTCGACTTCACTCTACCTGTCGGTAGGGAAGGAGGGTATTCTTCAGTCTCTCCGGCTCCCGCAGGAGCATGAGGCAGCGTGGATCGCAGAAGGATGAGTTGATGTGATGGAGGAGAAAAGGGGGAGGATGTAGGTGAGGTGAATGCAGTGTAGCATAGCTTGACGGTTGCTCAGAGTGAGTGAGTGAGTGAGTGGTTGAGTGTTTAGGTGGTGCGGAGATGTGCGAAGACCCTTTTTGGACCTTGCGTTGCTTGGCACAGAGCTCTGGGAGTTGATCCAGAGCCTTACTGTTTCTCAGCAGCGGTGACTTGGGGCCCAGTCCTGTTTCCCTCCTACTCGTGCCGTGTTCAGCACTTTCGGCATGCTTCCCTTTACCATGTGTCCGCCAGCCACGACTGTTGGCTTCCGAGACAGGCTGACTTCTTTTCGCGTATTGTCAAGGGAACTTCCTCTGGAGCTCTTCCTGGCTCGTTCGTCCTGTGACACGCGTGCTTCTTCTTGGCACTTCCAGATTTCCCTCCTACTCGTGCGTCTTTTGGCACTTTCGGCATGCTGCCCTTGACCAGCCTGTATCACCCGTGGCTTGATCATATTCCAGACAGACCAATCTGGTGGTTGTTCCGAGAGTGTTTGCCAAGAGCATTTGTATATCCAGCCATTCCATTCCTTTCCACCCAAGCCTTATGGTCCCAATCAACCATGATCCCTTCCTCCACTTTATACCCGTAATGAATGTGATGCTCATCAGATGATGAGATGCGCAGGCGGTGATGTGCCCAAGAGTAGATTGGGCATCGAAGTTGTATGAAGCCACCTTGGCCAGCTCGCGTCGAAATTGTGTATAAGAAACCCAAAAATGGAAGATCATGGGCTTGTGTTGCGGCTTCTGCGGATTGAAATGTTAGCCAATGTTGCCTGAAAGTCTGATAGAATGGGTGTTGTCACCTACCGAGCTGTAAGGATTGTTTGATGCCACACGTATGTGGAAGTCGGTCGGCCAGTCCGACGTTGAATATATCATTCGAGACACCTGACGGTGTGATCTTGTACTGAAGATCCGGGTCTTCGCCACCAGGCTCGCCGGGGGCAATTAAGGGCTGCTCCTCACCGAAAGAGATACGTGGGGCGAAAAGAAGAGGACGACCACAACCGCCTACATTTACTCACTTCACCCCAGAAGGGGTTCCTCGTTTTCGAAATCAGCAAAGCAGATGTGGTGTCGGAAGGTCTTGTGGTGATGACAACCACGACTGCTTACATCTACTCACTTCACTCCACAAGGGAGTTCCTCGTTTTCGAAACCCGAAAAGCAGACATGGTGTCGAGGTGCGGCTGAGATGACAACCACAACTGCCTACATTTACTCACTTCACTCCACAAGGGAGTTCCTCGTTTTCGAAATCAGCAAAGCAGATGTGGTGTCGAGAGTATTGCAGAGATGACAACCACAACTACCTGCATTTACTCACTTCACCCCAGAAAGGGGTTCCTCGCTTTCATATCAGCAAAGTAGATGTGGTGTCGAGAGTTATCGCGGAAATGACAGCCACAACTGCTTACATCTACACGCTTCACCCCATAAAGGGATTCCTCGCTTTCGAAGTCAGCCAAGCAGTTGTGGTGTCGAGAGATGGGGCGCGGATGACGACCAGAGCCTGTCTACATTTACTCGCTTCACCCCACAGGGAGGTTCCTCGCTTTCATATCAGCAAAACAGGATAGCGTCGAGATGGATGGGGGAGAGAAAGAGGGAGAAATGGGTGAAACCGAGTGCCGTAAACCGAAGAACGAGGACCGAGAGAGAAGAAACCAACAGAGAGGAACCAGCAGAGAGGAAAACAACAGAGAAGAAAACAACTGAGGAGAAAACAACAGAACAGAAGCAACAGAGAACAAACAGGAGACGACAGTACGACCTGCGCTAGTGGCGCGATCTATACTGGCTGTGGTCACGGGGCGGGGGCGTTGGGGTATAGACCGCGTGGTAGTGAAGGGTCGGGATCGAACCGACCTGCGCCGCCGCACCGAGACCACCTCCAAAACCTTCATCGTCCGAGCTCGGGAGCTCCGGCGACAAAGGGCAGGGCTGGTCGTGCCAGCTGACTCCTGCTGTCTGTTGCTGCTGTTGCTGCTGTTGCTGCTGTTCCCGCTGATGTTGTTGCACCAGTTCATCCAGCAGCCGCTTCTGCTCTCGTTGCAGTTGCTCCTCCTGCTCCTGCTGGTGTTGCAGTTGCAGCTGCTGCAGCTTCTGAGGTGCGATCTTCTCGCTGACCTTCTTGGGTGTTCCTATTCGCCGGTTGGCAAGAACAGCGGCCGGAGCCGTCTCCTTCAGCTCTTCCTTGAATTGGCTGCCGTCCACAACCACGGCCGCTGGAAGCGCAGGAAGGGCAGCCACTGCCCTCCGGTGCCGGTCAACCACGATGCGGGCAGCAGCAACTTCGCGGTTGTAATCTGGATCCTCCGGGGGTTCTTCGGCGAACTCGGCGATTTCGTCGTAGCCCTTTCTCTTCCAGAACTCGCGTCCCTCTTTCGAACGGCTGGCCACGTTGCGCCACCGAGCCTGCTCCTCCTCCAGGTGCGCCGCCAGGTTGAACCGGAAAGGGTCGGCCGAAGGAGGTGCCACAGAAGGCGCGGGAGCGGGCGCCTTGGGAGGATCAGTAAACACAAAGGTGGGCGCAGACGGAGGCGCCGCCGCCGGAGCGGGCGTCTCGGGAGGGTCGCTAAACACAAAGGCGGGCGCAGACGGAGGCGCCGCCGCCGGAGTCGAAACGCCACTAATGCCGGGAAGAGTCGTCTGGACGTCAGGCTCGGTCCTGGGGCCAGGAGCAGGAGCCGAAACTCCACCGAAACCAGAAAATATCGGAACTACAAGCTCGGGCCGGGACTGGGGTGCGGGCGGTGGGAAAGGCACAGAGGGGGAGTAGGCTGGCGTATATGCACCACCAGAACCAGAAACCACCGGCTGCTCAGGCTCGGGTGCAGGCGGGAATGGCGTAGAAGGGAAGTAGACCGGAGTAGACCCACCACCAGGAACCACCGGCTGCTCGGGCTCAGGCTGGGGCTCGCGCTGGGGCTCGAGCGGCGGGAGTGGTGCAGAAGGGAAGTATAATGGAGCCGATACGCCACCAAGACCAGAAACCACCGGCTGCTCGGGCTCGGGCTCGGGTGCAGGCGGGAATGGCGTAGAAGGGAAGTACACCTGAGCAGACATACCACCAAGACCAGGAGCTACCGGCTGCTCGACCTGCGGTTCGGGCTGGGGTGGGAAGGGCTCAGACGGGAAGTAGACCGGAGCAGACACACCACCAAGACCAGAAACTACCGGCTGCTCGGGCTCGGGCTCGGGTGCAGGCGGGAAGGGCGCAGACGGGAAGTATACCGGAGCAGACACACCACCAAGACCAGGAGCTGCCGGCTGCTCAGGCTGCAGTTCGGGCTGGGGTGGGAAGGGCTCAGACGGGAAGTAGACCGGAGGAGAATCGTAGCACCAGTCCATTTCGTCGAGCTCCTCCGTGACTGTCGGCTGACTGGCCTCAGGTTGCTAGCCAGAGGGCGCAGCCAGACTGGGCTGGTCATAGGGGGCGAGAGCGGCGGACGGAGCTGGAGCGGAAAGGACGGGCTCAGGGGCCGGGAGCGGGAGCGAGGCCGGGACATAGGCCGGCTCATAGGTAGGGGCGGGAGCAGGAAGAGGAGCTGGTTCTTGGGGCGGCAACAGAGACGGCGGTTGTTCGTACGGACCAGACCAGACGGGGGGAGGAGCGGCAGAAGGGAACGATGGCATCGAAGCAGGGGCGGGCTGCGGCTCCGGGTTCCAGTTATCCCAACAAGTCGATCGACCGCCCATGTGCCACGGTTCGACCGGCTTGCGGACGGACTCTACAAGCCGCACCCAAGTTCGCGCGGATTCCTCGGGGTCGGAAGTTGGAGGGGTGCCGAAGTTCTCAGGGTCCATCCAGCCGCCGAAGTCCAGGCCTGCGTCGTCGTGGTTGTAGCACCTGCAGCTGGATCGTGCCGGGCGAGAAAGAACCGGAGGCTGGGACGGAAGCTTAGGAACGAACGGCTTCGGCTTCGGCGCCGGGGCTGGACGGGTTGACGGGCGAGAGACAACCGGAGGCTGGGGCGGAAGCACACGGGCGAACGGCTTTGGCGCACGAGGAGGTGACGGGTATTCCTTGTCCTTGGGGCTGGCCCAAACCTCCGAGGGATGCCAATCCATGGGCTTAGTCTTCTTCTGCGGGCGAGGGCGAGGTCGAGAAGGGGCCGTGTCGAGCCAGGCGTAGAACGCCAACCAGAGCGAGATGACAGTGACGGGAACCACAGCGACGAGACAGAAGACCACCTGCCCGAAGGCGAAGAGAGCGTTGAGCGCGTTCTTGCCGAAGACGAGCCAAGCAGGGGGACCGGAGTCATCACTGTCGTCACCAGCCGGGAACATCTGCCCCTCCAGGTGAGTGACGGCGCCTATGATGGCGACGTAGATGAGGAGGCAGACGATCACGACCAGGGCCAGGTGCACACAGGTAACGAGGGCCGAGAGAGGGAACCAGGAGAAGGTGTCGAAGGCGTCGAAGACGGGGGCGAGAGAGAGGGCGTCAAAGGCGCCGACCATGAGAGCGACAGCCGAGAAACCGAAGACCAAGCAGCAGGTGGCCAAGGGCCCGAAGGCGACAGAACCACCGACGAAGACGACAGGGGGAGACCTGATCATTGAGTCAGCATTGATATTGATCAAAGTCAACATGGAAAATGATGAGGTCGTGATAATCAGGTTCATTGCTAATTTGATTTCATGGTGAAGTGGGGGATTGTCATCGTGATATCTCAAAAATGATGATGATGCCGATTCTGACAAACGGTGATGGTAGTAATAATAATAATCTTGATGACGACGCGGTCACACCCTCGAGATGAATCGTGTTGCAAAATAGGGAATAATATTCATCTGAACTTACCAGAAGACGAGATCCTCACCACCGAGGACGAGCCAGGCGAGGCAGAGGTAGGCCACGAAGGCCGAGGCGCGCGCGCCAACAGAGAGAGCCATGGCTGCTGCTGCTGCTGGTACTGGCGGGAGGGAGACGATAGAGAGAGGGGGGGCCAGAGAGGCGAGAAGAGGGAGAAAAAAGTACCACAGTTGGTGATCAGATGCGAGGGGAGATCGTGAGAAAAATCGTGCCGTGAGGCGAGAAGCTGACGATCGATATCTGAACAGTAACTGTGGGACGAAGGAGGAAAGGAAAAGAAGACCAAGATGGGATCGCAGATGGAGGGGGAAATAGTGGTGGTCTGCCTCGTTCTGCCAGGCGGTGGGTCCAGATTGTTGATTGTTCCATTGTCAATAGTCGAGGATTTGGCACAGTGGGCCCGATTATTCCTACCAGAGCTGGAGCTGGCCATTCACATTGTTCACTTGGTTCTATTCACTTGGCTCTGAAAATCCTCTGCTGCTTTGGAGCGGCCTCGTCTGCCATTATGGTGGCCATATCCTCGGGGACCAGGGGCCATTGGGGGCACGCATCAGAAGAACGATTTGCAAACGCAGCTTTCATATTTTATTTCTGGGAATCTAGAACTTACCAAGGCCTAATAGGGGCTCGATAACTCATCTTTTTGGGTAATAATGGAATCTATGGCACATGATGAGCTGCTCAGACTGAACACACACCTCGAATATCTCCCTGAGCTCCATGTGCGGCTATGAAATCACAGTGAGTGCTTGGAAAGTCAATATCGCTACGAAGTTTGAAGCCGCCAAAGGGGCCTACCCCATGCTGTAGACCTCTGCCCGAGTTCACAAATTCGAGGGGTAATGCTCTGCTAGAAATGCGCTGCGTAAACTTTGTTGTACAGAGAGGTCCCCGAGGACATAGCACAATTTTTTCATTCACTTGAACCATGGCTTTATTCACAAGGCCAGCTGCAAAAATAGACGGCATGATAATGTGCGTTTGCTGGGGTCGGCTGCCTCTAGCGACGAATTTCACCCATGTCAGATCTCGCCGAGGACACATTGCCAGCCGTTACATTCTCTCATGGACTCCACGATGAGGCAAATAAGGCTTTATCGAACCCGTGTTGCTTCTGTCATTTGAGATGTCCAAAGATCCTTGCCGCAGCTGGCCTTCTGGCCTTGCGGTGATACGTATGACACTGAAATACCGTTGCCATACCAAACGCTTACGGTGGGGTGGAATGGCACAAAAAAAATATCAAATCACAGCGGACGACGGCACAGACGTCAATACACGTAATCTCTCGCATGGATATCTCAAAGCATTGCATTCCAAGTGAAAATGGCAATCCCACCTAGGTATATCCCAGAACAGACTGTCCAAACTCCAGGTTCCCTCCCCCCATACGTCCATTGTAGCGAATCTAATCATCATAAAGTCATGCCAGACAAAAATTACAAGCCCCCTTATTTCCGCCCCCTCGCCACGAGCCTCTGGTGCAGCTCGACGACGATGTCGCTCCAAGACTCCTTCTCCTGGTTATCCGCCTTTGTGGCAACGACACTGCCAATCCGGGTTGTGAGGTACTCGACCACTTTGTCAACCTTGAAATGCTCACCGTAGATCACCTCCGCCTGGGGCACGATAGCAACCTGAACGCCGTCGGGGCCGCGCTGGGCCTGAAGTCCGAGAACGATCTCGATCTTGGTCTCCAGTGGCGCCAATAGCATCACAAGTTTCACTGCAATCGACGAGTCGCCAGTCTTGACGACCTCAGTCGGGAACGTGCAATTGAGCAAACGGATGTCGTCGAACACGGCGCCGGCCATGCGCCAGGCCGCACCCACAACCCGGAGAAGAGTGGGGATTCTGGTGGAGGCTTGCGGTAGTGTCCTTACGTAATCGCGGATACACTGGACAAAAAATTCCCTTTCGGGCGATATGGGCTGCGGCTGCGTCTCCCGATTGGCTGCAATATACCAGAGATCGATGCGCGAGTTCGGCTTTGTCCCCTGGAAAGAAGCAATATCAAAGACGAGCTCAATCTCGCGCTTGTAGGTCATAGAAATTGTCGTCCCTGAAATGCCGGTTATGTTCCACCCGTGTTCTCTCTCGATGGCGTCTACTTTGGCTGCAAAAATGTTAGTTGGATGCTTGACAGACTCCAAAGAACGAACCCAGTGGGGCGGGGCATACCTTTCAGCGCGTTGATCTCGGTACTGGTCCATCCCCGGCATTCCTCTCGGACCTTCTCTGCCTCAGCAATAGCGGCGACACACTCCTGCTTCCGCTCAACCATGTCTTCGACTGTAGCTTGAGTTTCCAGGAGGGCCTGATGGAACTCTTCGATCTGGCGCATCTTAGCCTCGATGTCGGCATCAACGTCTGTAAGCTCAGCACGTGCTGCCTGGAGATCTTCCGGGTCACAATCTGCAAGCTCTTGCGCGATGGATTGCAAGTTCTGGTTCTCTGCTTCCAGCGCTTTGAACTTGTTGTCGAGCTGGGGCAGAATGGATTGGAGTAGCTCCTCCTCCTTTCGCAAGAGTTGTCCGTCAGCGTCCATTCCCTCAGCAATTCTGACGAGGCCCTCTTTTAACCCATCTTGCAGCTTCATACGCCATTCGTACCACATCGCTTTGCTCAACAAGCGCGCATGAGTCTTGACATTCTTGAATTGATTGTCCATCAAGATCTTGAAGTCCGGTGAGGCAGATATGTACTCCTTGAAGAGCGGCGGGTTCTCGACAAACGTCTCCGTCTCAATCTCGCGCACGATACGACGACCTTCAGATATGTATTTCTTCAGTTCTCGACACGAGTGTTGGTAGAGCTCCAGCATTGGCACGGTGCACGCGCCGGCAATAACACATCTCTCGAGAGAAATATCCTCTTCTTTGTGCAGTGTGCTATCTTGCATAGCAGTTGGGGCCTGGGTGTGCCGTCTTTTCGTCGTTGTCAGTTCCATGAAACGGATGCTTGTCATGTTTAGGAAGTCTTGAAGATGAATACGTTCCTGGTCATCGTCGGGAATTTCGGGGTCGATGAGGTGCGGCACTTCGTCGAAACTGAAGGTGTTGGTAGGTTGATCCTCGACATCCTTGAACCTTCCTTGGCCATGGGGAGAGGGCGCAGCCTTTGAGCCCTTTTTCGGTGATAGTGATGTGCTGGGTGTGGTGATATTACCGCTCGTCTCCTCCAAGCTGTGCCGCATAGAACGTGTCAGGCGCCCAGTAGTCTCTGCCTTGGAAGGAGGAGCATGTAGCCGCACGTTCTTGACTGGGCTGCTCTGGTGACCCTTAAGTCTTTTGACACCATCGCGGTCTTCCTCTTCTTCCTCGTCATCGAGCTCGGCAGGACGCTTTCCGAGAAGACCCCTGGCGCTTCCAACATGGAGACTTTTGCGCCCCTTGAAGACGCTGTTGTTGCTGTTCTTTTTCTTCGGCGACATGTTATTGATCATGTCCTTCAGAGTCGCAGTGGTGTTCTCATCGTCTCCATCCGCCTCCCTTTCAAGAATGCTTCGTCCGTTTTCTCTAGCTTCCTCATCCTCTCGATCCCTGTCAACCTCATCTTCAAAGGCGCGAGGGTCAGCGAATGTAACCCCTCTACCTGGTTTCCCAGGGACAAAGTTATTTGCGGCTTCGCCGATGGAGCCTCGCCGGTCCATGATTGCTGCTACTTTGGGAGATCCCAGTCCGGGACGATCGACGCCGACGCCAGATAGCCTCCGTCTCTGAGGAGTGAGTATATGCAAGGGGGTCGAAGCACCTGTCGATGGGTTGCGTTGGAAGAGCGTAGACTTCTGTGGGCTCTTCTGAGGAGATTGAGATGTTGTTGACTCATTGGCAGCCGGACGTTGAGGAGAGACACTCCGGCTGGGTGACCGTCTTGACGGCGGAGTCTTGAGGGGGCTCGATGCGCCTTTAGCGTTTGGTGTAGCCTCTTTGACGGGACTCGAAGATTTCGGTGGTGACGCTTGACGGACTGGAGAGGGCCGGACAGGAGATGACCGCACGGGTGACGACCGGAGCGGGGAGGAGCTAGCAATAGTCTGTGGCCGTTGACTGATGCTGCGACGAAGGCCGGTTCCTTGAAAGGCGGATAGACCAGGACTTGCGGCACCCGATGTATCAGCGGCTCCAACCAGGGCAGACAGTCGTTTCTTCGCTGGTGAATTTGCTTCGACAGGTGTATCGTCAGCTTTGTCCACCTCTTCCTCCATCAACTGCTTGGCTACTGAGCGGTCTTTCACGGGAGAAGGACCTTTGATGATGCCCCCCATAGCCATGGTCATCTCCATACCCATGGTGGCGTCATCTTCAGCGTCCTCGAACTCGTTGGCCTGGGTCGTGGGGAGGATGCGACCGAGACCCACCGTCATATCCATGGTAGCTTCATCGTCAGCCGCCATGGTGCGCCGCCGTGTAGGAAGGGACTTCCTCTTTCCGGCTTGTTTTGCTCCCAGAAACCCTCCCAAGACGGAAGTCAACTCCATAGACATATCTTCGTTGTCAGCGTTGCTTTCGAGATCGAAAAGGTCATCTTGTGAGCGTTGAGGATTTTGGATGCCACCAATTGCCATGGTCAGGTCCATCGTAGTGTCTTCCATGACTGAGCCGTCAGCAGCCTTGTCGGGACTTGTAGGCGCCGATGGCGCAATGGCCCTTTGTTGAGGCATAATACCACCCAAGACCTTGGTGACATCCATAGACATATCTTCGCCTTGATCGTCATCCTCGGCAACATTGGACTTGAGGATACCTCCCATGGCTTGGGTCATCTCCATATCCATGTCCATGTCCATGTCCATGTCTGTACCATTGTCTGCATCTTGGTCTTCGTCGTGCGGGCTGGTTTGAGATGTGCTGGATTGCCCTTGCTTCTGCTGAGGGCTCTGCTGTTTTGGTGCAGGCTTCTTGGCCCAACCAAAGGAGGGGATGACCTCCTCCTCCTCATCGATACTTTGCGTTTGTGCCTGTCTTGCGGCAAGTCGAAGCGCACCGTCCAAGGTGTCATCCATATCGTCATCATCCGACATGTAAGTGCGCCCCGAAGCAATGGATGTGCTGGTGACTTCGTCGACGTCCAACATGGTAGTGCCGTCATCCGAATCGCTCCCGGAGTCCGAGTTGATCTCCTCAATGACGCCGTCCGTGGCCTCTGAGTCGGAACTGTAGACAGTTGACGCCAAAGTGTCATCATCTGGGTTGTGGTAGTTCAGGGTGGAAGCCCCCGAGCTTCGGCGGCGCTTCCTCTGATGAAGATCTCTCTGGTGTTCAGGCGATTCTGGCACCAGATCATCGGCTTGCTCTGGCGGAGTCGACGGCGGATCTGATGCGTCGGGGCTGGCTGGCGCGGGGAGTGAAGGCTGTGCGGCTAGGGACGAAGCGCGTCGCGTATCGTCAGTCGATGTGGTGGAATCCTGCATGAACTCTATCTCGTGGAAGGTATGCAGCGTGGCCTCGGCGGCGAAGGAGACTCTTCGGTTGGCCAAGGATTTCCTGCGTGCCTCGCGACGGTCTTTAATTTCTTTTTCGAGAGCGGCCCTCTCTTCCTCCTCGCGTTTCCTGGCTGCCGCCTGCTGCTCCTCTTCGGTACGGAGGGCAATCTTGGTCCCGGAAGAGGTGGAATCGTCGTTTCCGAAGGGACTATGCGCCTTGTCGGCTCCATGGAAACTCGAGCCATAGCGCATCTTAGGCTTATGGGGAGGTATCTCGGGGAGCAGAGGCATTGTGGGCTTGAGAATCGATCTTGGCGGCGGTCTGGCGGGAGCGGCTAAGGACTGCATGGCGTGTCAGAGACGTGACGTTCACAGCGACAGTCACGGGATGCGCCTGACGTCGAAGGACGCCGACGGAGGTAGACGTAAACATACCACTCTTCTGTTTCCGGAACCCGACTTGAGGACATCCAAGCCTCCCGGGCCCATACTCTTGCTGCGTGACTTCTTTCGGCCTCCATTACCGGCCAAAGAGCTGGCCACGTCGACGGTGATGTTCTCTTTGTCGAGGCGCTTACGGACGGGTGAATGGCCCGTGGACTTGCGCGGCCGGCGTGCAGTGGGCACGGGGGCCGGTGTGCGGGAAGACATGCTGTCGGCGACAACTATGCGACAGTGGTGTTGTTGGAAGCTGGCATCAGAAGCGCTCGCGAGTTACGGACTGTTGACCTGGGTGCGCGTGTGGACGTTGATCATGGCAAGGCGCGGACAGCATGTGTGCAGCAGCAAGTGGAGGGGCAGTCGCGTCCGTGTAAGTACATAGAGCAGGAATGGGCCGCGACGATACACGGGCGTTGTTTACTCCCTTTCCTAATGAGGCGTAGCGCTCGTCGCCCGAATTGGATGGAGAGAGCTTTGACCGAGTCCGAGACTTTTTGAGAGCGCACAGCCTCAGCTTGCGAGCCCCCAGCCCAGCCGCCACAATGCCCGCGGGAGCTTGTGGCGGGTGCTTCGTCCCCCGCGCGCAGTGGTGTGTGGCTGCTGCACCACCACCGGACGCAGCCACAACACCAGGTCTGAGCGCTCTCTGGAAGTGGGGCTGCAGTGGAGCGCGGCTGATGGTCGTCCGCCCATCTCATTGGCCGATGGCCGTCCAGCCCTTCGGCTAATTCTCGTGTGCTGCCACTTTTCCGCTCTCCCACCACATTTTTGAAATTCGGAGTTTGTGAAGTTTTGACGCCTCCAGACCAGACGCAACTTTCCACCACCCAACGCCCAACGACCACCGCCCTTCGACCCTTGCGATAACCGACAACAACAATCGCAAAAATGGCGACCGAGCTTACCGTCCAGTCTGAGCGTGCTTTCCAGAAGCAGCCTCACATCTTCCAGAACTCCAAGGTCAAGACCAAGTCCGCCCGCCCCGGCAAGTCTGGCCGAAGATGGTACAAGGACGTCGGTCTGGGTTTCCGCACCCCCAAGACCGCCATTGAGGGCAGCTACATCGGTACGTGAACGCGGCTTGCATTCACTGCGAGGGAGAGGTGGCCAGAAGAGCGATGGGAATCCCGGGGTGCCTCAAAACTTTTTTCGCGACATGGACCAAGAGGGGCATCATATGGCGTGTTTTCGTGCACAACCTCGAGAACACGGGTCGCCTCTGCTCACCGGGCCCATGGTCGCTGAAGAGGCTGGGAATGGCAGCGAAGCAATGAGCGGACGTGACAGGAAATGCTAACAGCTGCTACCTACAGACAAGAAGTGCCCCTTCACTGGTCTCGTCTCCATCCGTGGCCGTATCTTGACTGGTACCGTCGTTTCCACCAAGATGCACCGCACTCTCATCATCCGCCGCGAGTACCTCCACTACATCCCCAAGTACGCCCGTTACGAGAAGCGCCACAAGAACCTCGCCGCCCACGTCTCCCCGGCTTTCCGTGTCCAGGAGGGTGACCAGGTTACCGTCGGCCAGTGCCGACCTCTGAGCAAGACTGTACGTTGCCCCCGCGCATGTCCTGCCCCCATCCCCCGGGCTGACTGCTGACATTTTAATCTTCCCAGGTCCGATTCAACGTTCTCCGTGTCCTTCCCCGAACTGGCAAGGCGGTCAAGAAGTTTGGCAAGTTCTAAATCGGGTTCTTTCCTGGGGGCATTAAGGCGTCATTGCATGAAAGGGTTCGTCATGTTCTTGAGAATTAGGAACTAGGGCGGTTCATCGGATGCTGCTTGGGCACAACGATTGCCATGTATGCAGCTACGGAATAAAATGATTTCACGGACACCAATCATTCGGACGACCACAACATTCTATCTCACTTTTCTCGTGATCGACGTGAGGCGTACAGGCGGGGGGCGATGTTTCAAAAATTCGAAGTGGCTTTGTTCTTGCCGAATGGGCTCAGTTGTCCTCTGCTTTCTCTCGGGCACTTGAGGGTCAAGTACGAGTTACTTGGCCCAGTGTTTCTGATACGCGTGACGTGACCCTTGTGCTGATGTGCGTCTCTACACTGATTACCTGCCATAAACAAGGTGTAACGACGTGAACGGTATGCACCTTCGAATCCCGTGGTCTCGAGCACTCATGCGACTCAAATGATTTTCTCCGTGCCGCACTTGGCCCAGCGACATCGTCCATAGCATTCACTTCGTGAGTGACTGGACTCCGATATGTAGATATGCGTACCAATCGACATATTCAATACCTGGGAATGTAATCTGCCTCCGGTGACCAAAGAACTTGAGAGTCTCAGGAGGGGTCTGATGAACTACAGTTGGTATAAGGAGGATAAACACTGTGAGAACACGCTACAAATGCGCCGCACTGTACAGTGTAGGACAGGGCGAGCACCGTGCCCTTCTGGAGGTCGGCAAGTGCCGAATGCGATTCCTGATGCTCCAACTTTTTTTTGCAGATGATCGCGACCAGAAGCCCCAGCTCCAGATCTCGGCAGCAGCAACGTACCTCGTCCCGATTGACTCTTGCACGGCTTGGAAGTAAAACACTGCTCGTAGACCAACATTGACTGCCGCAATGGGTTGGTGGCAGAGCCTTTGGGGCACGGAGAACACGGACGATCCCCTCAGGAAGCTCGACCCCAAGCTCCGCGAATACCTCGAGAAAGAATCCCCAGTGAAATACCCGTCATCGCAAGCACCGCCGTCGCAACCGCCACAACCCCAAACGAAGTCCGCACAAACACCATCACACACAACCCCCGATCCCACACAGTCTGCGCAAGACCCTCCGCCAGTGCCCAAGGAGTCCGAGTTCCAGGATGGCCGCTATGCCCACCTCTGGAAGACGTACCGCCCGCTCGCCGAGATCGAGGGCGAGACCAAGAGCGACCAGGAGAAGATCATGGACGTGCTGGAGGGCTACAAGGAGCGCAAGTCCCAGATAGGCCGCGCCGCTCTCGAGAACTGCGCCCTCGAGCAGGTCGACTGGAGGAGCTGCATGAACAATCCCAGCGTTGCCGAGAGGCTCACCATGTGTCGGGCCCAGGTCAAGAAGTTTGAGCGCTGCTATACCACACAAACGGTATGTTCTTTCATGCCTCCCTCTTCTATTGTTTCCGCAGGGGTGCGGGGACATGCGCGAAAGGACTCAAAAGAACACTGGCTAACATCATTGGGGACGACAGAGACTCTTAAAAGCCCTGGGCTACCTTTCGACACTAGACCGCTCGCCCGAGGTCGAAGAGGAGATTCAGATGCATGCCGACGCCATGTACCAGAAGTTGGTCGCGCAGGAGGCCGAGATCGAGGCGGCCAAGGCCGAGGGCCGTCCCGTGCCGAAGTTCGCGCCCGTGGTCCCCAAGAAGCCGCTGGTGCCGTCGGCGGCCCCCGACGCCGACCTCTCGGCTGAGCAGCAGGCGACGCTCAAGACGAGGCTGGAGAACATACCCGAGGAGGACCACGCCGCCGAGATCGAGGCCTTCCGCGCCGAGCAGAGGGCCAAGGCCGAGCTGGGCCAGCGCCTGCGCGGCATTCTGGACCAGCAGGAGGCTGAGCGGAAGGCCAGGATAGAGGCCGGCCAGCACACGGCGTGGGACAGGGTCATGGGCGTAGTCAGGGGAAATGGCGAGAAGAAATGATCAGATACGGCCAACAAGATGAGGGCCTTGAGCCGATGAAAGGCCGGAGTGGCTGTACGGATAGTGTACCATACTGTTACAATATGAAAGGGGAAGCACGCCCTCGAGCGAATGCATATCGACCCCGTTTTTGCCTATCTGAATCTATGAGCATCCAAACAACTTGTCTACCATGCCACTTGTCTGGACCTGTAATAGCATATGACTCGTTGAGACGCAGGCAAAAGAAACATCACAGGGAAGTGCTCCGGCAGTTGTCAGGAGATTGTATACATCGAATTGCCAGAAGCAATGTGGCCGAGCTCAATGTCTGGTCTCAGAAATGAGGAGGATTTACCGAGTATACCATTTTGCGGGTATTTGTTATTCCTAGCTTTCAAACCCCGGCCACGACTATTGTAATACCGTTCATGCTTATCTGTATATTGTCTTTGTGGTTTATCCCCACATGTGTTTTATATTAGAAGTTCTTGGAAGAAAGTGGGGCTTCAAGTTCACTGGCATAGTTACATTCAGAATTACTATGCTAATGTAAACTCCACCGGATCGCTGACATGCAGCACCATCTTAGGTCGTCCATCGTTTTTCGTCTCCGGGCAGAGGATCGAGTCGTAATCCGGAGTCGGGGGATTCACGACTCGGCCGACACGCCAGCACGGCAGATAGACCTCAGTGTTGGCATGGCTTTGGCGTCCGCCCCAATTCCACCATTCGACATGAGCTCCTCGTAGACCAACGCGGAACCTGTCGCCCGGTTTGGCATCCTCTGGAAACTTCTTTGGGATGGTCCGCTGGTGCGCGACCACGGACTCGCCTCGACCGAGACTCAAAAACTGTTCATCCTCTCCGACCTTGACTAGCAAAGGCGGTGCGTCTAGCAGGGCGAAGCCGGAGCATCCTCCGTACTCATCTTGCTCTGTTAAGCACTCTGTCCACTCGCCGTTGCGGAGCTGGTAGAGAGACAGCTTTTCTTCTCCCATGACGCCGTATTTATGGAACGTTATGGGAGGTGCGTCTTCAGCATTTGTGTCGCTAGTGCCCTCGTAAGTTACATTGAATTTCAGGTACTTTTCCTCCGAGTCTCTAGAGATCTTTGTGGGACACTCGAGTGTGAGGCGGAGAATTGGGGCAGTTCCCGGACCAGGGCTATATCACACACGTTAGTTGTTTGTTGGGACAGCGGACGCAGTAAGCAAGCCTTACAGTATTTCTTCGTTGGAAGCCATCAGAACTCATTAGAGACGGGTCAAGAGTTCTTGAAAGATCGCTAGTACGACGATGATATGCGCAAACGTTTGTACTGATTGAATCAAGATAAGTTAATTTCGGAGCTTGCAAGACGTGAGGATAGAGATTCACAAGCTCATCAGTGCAGGCTACTTGGCACACGTTGCAGCCCAGTAGAATCCTCTTGCTTACTTACTGTACGACTGGAGGTTTGTCTCCGGCAGAGCAGGAGCGCCTCTGGGACAAATACAAATGGGATGACGCACCAGATTTAAATCCCCGTTCCCTATTGGCTTGGCAGCTCTGAATGACGTGATCATTTGGGGGCAAAGTTATGCCTTGCTGTACCATCAATGATATTACCAATCGTGTTGCTCTACGTTATGGTTGCCTCTTTGCAAATTTAGAGATTCGTGCTATTCGTTCCGCATAACATCAAGACAATCGTAGGCTTGATGGTATCTAGGAAGGAGACATGCAGTTTCTGTAGCCATGTCTGACGCATGTGACTAGGCTTACATGGCCAGTATTTTGTATAGAACTATTGACCGTAGGAACACCACAAGGCGCATACGTCTAAATAAGCGCATTTTACTACCACCGTCGAGTCAGAGGCAGATAGGAGTCCTGGAAGCCATTCTGCAAGGATTGCAAGTTCATGGAGTCGAAAGTGACCATTATACCTTACGTAACAAAGGTGTATTTGTATTCGTCACCCCAATCGCTTGGGGCCGTTTCATCCTCCTAAGCCGGTCAGGGAGAACTTGTGACAATCCTTGGGCGGGGTGGCAGGTGTAGAAACAGCGGGATTGGTCAGTGTTGTCGACGCATAACAATGATATGAGCATGTACAGCCCCGATGAATCCTCTTTGCTTACATGGCTTACTTTACAATGGCAATTGAAGGTTATGCTCATGAGTGGCACGTTATATGATCCAGGAACTCAGGAATGGTATTCTCTCGTTTCACGTATGTAGATCCATAGTCTTTTGTAGTACGTCTTGGCAGTCATGATTACGAGGTGCAATATATGATCAGATTGTTCTGCTGAGTAGTACTAGACAACGAAAAAACTATAAAAGTCTTCTACAAGCTATGCAATTCTTTTTACCATTCCAGCAAGGAGCAGTACTCTCAAAAAACGGCACCGTCTGCAATCATGCACGTTACGTCGATCGCCGTCGTGGCCCTTACTGGCTTCATTGGCCGCTCCCAGTCCGTATATTGGCTTCCACATATGCCTCACTACAGCTCACTAACAGACCTTCAGAGCATCCAGGATTGCGCGCCGAGCCTGGCATTTCGACACAGTTGATCGTGCTTGTCCTCAAGATAAGCAAGATATCATCACGAAAGAAATTGACTATGCCCGTCAAATGGCAGAATATACCGCAAATCATGTCAAAGATGGCCCGTATTTTGATGCCATGTTTTCTGGTATTCCAGACTCGGACTTCGGCACCAAGGCCAAGGACATATACACAAGAGTTACCAATATGCTCGACCCAGGAAATGGCGACTACGATTTCAACATTCAGTGCGACGATACCACGGATCTATGCAAGATTCCCAACATTCAAGCACACATGAATGACGGTTCTAAAAGAATGAATTTCTGCAACAGGTTCTTCGCGCAGAACCCAGATGGGACCGAGTTTGCCATCCTCAGTACTGACCAGCGTCTGTCCGAAGGTGCTAGCTCTGCCGATTTCAACCTGCGAAAGGCTCAACGGTCTCGTTCTGCTGTCATTGTACACGAATGTACACATACTCAATACACGACTGGTCTTCCAGAGGGCAAGTAAGTACTCACATTCAGTCCCCCATAATCACAATTATATCGCAACTCTGATCGCACCCACCCCTCTCGCACTTTTTTACTAACTGGAGCCTTAGAGCACTCGATTATGCCTACGGTTACAACAGCTGCTGGCTGCTTCCACGAAACAAATACAATCGCAAATGCATGCCCGAAAATGTCAGGGGCCGGAAAGTGCTCTGTCCGGATGGCCAAAACCCGGACGAAGAAGGCATTTGCCCCCCGGACCGAGCAATCTATAATGCTGATAGTTACTCGTTCGTCGCGGCAGGCGTTTGGTTCAGCAACAAGCTGGGAAAAGAGGTGCCCTTGCCGCCTGACCCCCCTACTCCTGCCACCAGACGACAAGACAGTAGTGAGAGTTGTCCTGTCGACGACAGCCTGCCATTTGATGGAGACGAGTCCGACCCACCCCCGGTGGCTTCGAGCTCGGCGGCTCCTAGCCCAACCTCCGACCCTTCAAGCTCGGTGGATCCTAGTCCGACCACAGACCCCTCGAGCTCGAAGGCTCCTCAAGACCCGATCTCGTCCTCGGCGATAGAAGACCCTAGCCCATCCAGCGCGGTTCTGGCTGGCACTCAACAACGGCGTGCGGTGTACACAACGACTCTTTGGTAGTGACCATTTGGTTGATTTTATTGCACAGAAGACAGATCCCCCCCGGAAATTTAAGTAATGGCCACTGGCTATAAATATGCAGAAGCCTTCTCATTATATCGGCAGATACGAAGGTCTTGAACCCAAAGGGTTGCATGTTCGCCTTCAAGTTCGGCTACGTACTCACTGGAAGTTTTACCTTTGTGTTCTGGTGTGAGATCAGGCTTCGAACACGCTTTTCTATGTACGTTCAAGAGAGGTTGATATAGAGATAACCTGTTCTTCTGTCGACGTGAATCTCAAAGAACTTTCCAATACTCAGCGTTTCGGAGCGACTTCCATCTGCGGGCTTCTGTTTATCGCCTTACGGTGCTGCGACCTGGAGGGTTTCACCCACAGGTGCAGCACAGCTGTTATGCTCTCAGAGTACTGCCGTGTCCAGTAAATTTTGAATAACTCACGGGAAAAGCGCCAGCAAATTGCCCCGTAGAATGAATAAATCGTTCGCCAGGCTCGTTGCTACACTAGAACCTCCTTCTAGTTCCCGTTTGATATTATCGTCGTTTGATAATAAATCTGAACTATGGTCAGACCTTCGCACTTTTGTGAATGCGGAATGATTCGGAAGCTCTCGTTAGAGTTTTCTTAGGTATGGCCGTAGTGACCATCAACACTACCTTGCTGGAAATGTGATGTAGGAAAAGGTTTTGGCCTACATTCGAAAAGCAAACCTTGCCAACCAACCCTTTTGGGATGTCGCGAAGCGGTCTATTACTGAACCAATCAAGTGATTACACATTCATGGGTGACACTGCTTTTTACACGTTTGCTTTTCTGCCTTATCATCTTGGTGCGCATTCGTTAATTGCTGCAATCTATAGAGCCTAAAGGCCAAAGGGGATCGCCCAAGCCTCTTCACTCCAACCTGGGACCAAAGGTCTTCTCCCTTCTTATCCTGTGACCACACCCTGCCGCAACAAACTGGTCGTTATAAAGCTCCATAATTTGCAACGTAAAAGGAATTGAACGGAACTACTTCTGAAATGGACGTATCGTCACTGCTTTGCTGCATCTTCTCCGACAATAGAATTGCTCTCGGCAGCGAAAGCCCGTCTTGTCAGCCAATTGTCTACCGCAAGCCACAGCCGACAGCGCCTCCGCAATGGCAAATATCCACGCATGACAGTTTTGATGCCACTGTGGCGAAGGTTGTCAATATCCTGCGATCTGCGGACGAGCGCGGCTTTACACTAAGTAAGCAGATTGATGATGCCATCGGCGTGGAGGGCTGGACCGAGTGGATAGCTGAGAGAGTCTTGGAGGTTATCGAAGGTGTTTTGAAGGAGGGTCGGGAGAAAATGGCACAGGCCATGGTAGAGGCGTACGACAAAGCATCCGAAGCTGCTAATGCCGTTTTCCATTTCGCAAAGGATCATCCTGTCACAACGGCGGTCCTGCTCACGATCATTGCGATCGGTGTGCTAACCATACTTGCTCCTGTCATTGTGGAAGCCCTCGGGTTTGCTGAACTTGGACCAGTTGAAGGTATCACCTCAAATTCGAGCTATATACATTTCACTGTATAGCAGGTAACCCAGTATGCTGACTTTGAGCTTGTAGGATCCTTTGCAGCGCTATGGGAGAGTAAATATGCCGGATTGATCCCAAAAGGCTCTATTTTCTCGTTCTTCCAGCGTCTGGGAATGCTTTGGGGCAGGACTTGAAAGTCAGGGGAAAGGACCTGCTACCTTGATACTTTATGCAAGGATTCGCCACGGATGCAGCCCAAACAGTATGTCCTTGTAGTTATCATGCGATAACAAGGGTTTTAGTCTGCGCATTGCACAATTGGTACTTTTTTGACCTTACATAGCTATGATCACCTGAATGCTTTGACTCGACAGTAAACAAAAACTTGTATTCATCATTGGCATGCGAGCGTGATATGTGAGTCCACGAGGCGTTGTATTTCTACTATCGTGCACTTGCCACTGGCGGTACGAAGAAGAACTTCGAAACTTACGGTCTGGACTATCAACCGAGTACGGATTGTCTCTATTGTACTATCGTAGATTTCTTTCCCCCCGCGGTCGAAGGATTTCACGCTTCGGGTCTGATTGCTATTTTGTCGCACCAAAATATACCAATTAGACGCTTGACCAATGGCATATTTCAATCCCACAAGTAGTGCAGCCCATACACAGGTAGTCTCTTCGGCTCCCAACGCCCTGTGTTCTTCACAAGACTTGCTAAACACGCGAAAAAGTGAGCTGTGTTGATAGGAGGGGTGGCGACAGGGCGGCAGATGGTAGTTCGCGGGCTTAGTGACCGTGGTAGACCCTATGTCGCAGCATGTATAAATTAAGTGGGAATAGACGCTTCAACGATAGTTCCATTCATTTATCCCAGCCGTACTAACTTAGTGGGCTGTAAACTGTAATGCGGCCGCTCCAGCGAGGCTGTGGCCCGAAGAGTGGCAGTGGTGCAGCTTACTTCTCCTTGCTAAATGGAATCCATCATTTAAACTCCTTCTCACTTTGTTGCAGTATCTCCATTGCAAGCAGATAACTCGGTCTCTGCATTGAATCCTTTGGGAATATGACTAGAACCATCCCCGAGACCAACATCTGCGGGTTTTGCGCCAGCCTTGATCTCCCCAATGCATTCCTGGCGGCAGATACCCATCTTCAGAAGAGGCTCCGGTACCCTTCACTAAACCCACAATTCGAGACCCCGCAGTCATGGCAGCAAGAGATCCTAAAGCGAACAGCAACGCAGGAAATTGTCGGGCTTAATAAAGACCCGGGTTTCTCGTCCAATCTCTCGGAGTCGAATAATTGTACCCTCTGCCGATTTTTCAGCAGTATATTCGACGACCGCCCGTCCAAACATCTTGTCCTCACTGCGTGCTCTTCGCTTCAGCTGACACACTGGATCAACCCCAAAAGCTTCTTCGGCCACGGAACATTGTTGATCGATCAAGAGGCGGTCGTTGACAACAGTTTCATCACCATTCCAGGACCCAATGCTTCCCGTGACTTCTCCTCGGGAGGCTTTACTATAAGCGGAGCCATCTTCCGCACGTCGAAGTTGGGTCACCCTTTGAGAACTGAAGGCGGCATTTGGGGTAGAATAGTCCCACCGTTGGTGGATTTCTCTGTTCCGAGGACATGGCTAGATTTCTGTTGCGCCCATCACACCAAACATTGCCGGCGACCAGCACAGGACCATCAGATCAATGGCTTCAGGCTGATTAATTGCTATGCTGATCCGCCCACCATAGAGTCCTACGTCACCAGCAAACGTTATGCCGCTCTCAGCTATGTGTGGAGTTTCAGCCCCGAGTCTGAGCATGGGATTACCGACATCATCTTGGACGCCATCGAGGCCACAAAGGGACTCGGCCTTCAATACCTATGGGTCGACCGGCTTTGTATCGACCAAGCTAATGAAAGAGAGAAACTACACCAGATTTCGAATATGGATCGGATATATCAACAGGCAGAAGTCACACTTGTGGCTGCTGGAGAGCGATACGATGGGCTGCCGGGTGTTGCACGAAACCCAACGAGAAATCCCGCGTACGAACGACGCAGTCAGAAATGGGTGAGGGTGGGAACTACGGAATTGACTGCTTCCCTTCCCGATCCAATTGGTGTTATCAATGGGTCGACGTGGAACCGCCGTGGATGGACGTTCCAGGAAGGTTGGCTGTCCAGAAGACTGTTATTCTTCACAACTGACCAGCTCTTCTGGAACTGCCAAGGAATGACTGATCGAGAGAGCATGAAAATTGACACATCCTTGTCTCACCTCCCGGACAAGTCTTCCGAGGGAGATTGGATGAATCCGGGGTTATTCCGGAATCGCGTGGTGGAAGTCAACGCCCTTGAACATTCATCGGTGGTTCCTACAATATCACATCTCCAGCAAATCCGGCAGGACATCAGTACGTTCACGAGGCGCGACCTGACGCACGATTCAGATTCCTTACTGGCATTCAAAGGAATCATACAGGCCCACAAGAGCAGGGCCCCAGGGATTGTTGACTTTGTCCTTGGCCTTCCCGTATTTAGCGGGACTCTTGAGTTTGATAGCGGCAAATCAGCCTTTGTATTGTCCATGTGCGACTGGGTTCATGTTGAATCTCCATCATCGGAGGTCATCTTCAAACGCCGTCGACACCTTCCCTCGTGGACGTGGGCTGGCTGGCACGGTGCCCTCTCTGTGGAGAATTCATACACGACCAGTATTGCCTCGCTGAAGCGCACCAAGGGCTGGTTCAGCCTCGGCGACTACACACCAGAGATCGCCATCTGTCTCGGGGCAGACCGAGAGCTTTCGAACACTTCAGATGACAGACACCCAGAGCTGGGTTCTCTAGGTGTGGAAGACCTGTTTGGAAATAAGCCACGGCCTCGGGTGGTTGATGGGGACTTGTGGCTGGAACCGGAGCTGCCCAGACTAGAGCAAGAGGATTGGAACCATCCTCTACGATTCAAACAACCCTACGTGGTTGATTCTCACATGATCAAGAGATTCCCCGGGGGTAATATGCTTCAGATTGGTCATCTTATATGCAAATATCACCTGACAACCACATCTTTGGCTCCGAGTTCTTCTGGGGATACCGCCATTGAAGAAGACCTTCGTAGTGGTTGCTTAAGGGTACTACTGCTTTGGGCACATCGAGACACGGGCACAGTCAAGGAAGTTTCCCAAGGTTTACTACCGCAGGCATCAATGTTGATCATCAATCGTGTTTCTCAGGAATCGCAGAATCATACAACGAGCAGCTGCTGGGAACGACTTGGAGTCCTAAGGCCGGTAGGCTGGGCGACAGAATTAAGTTTCACCGAGAGTCGTGTAAATTTCGAAACTTTCATCGAAAGCGCTGGCTTTGCAATGTCGGAATCGGATCTTCTCTTATATTAATACTTCACTATCGTAACGAGTCATACGTGGAGCGAGACCTTGATAAGACTCTAATGGATTGGCAGCTTTTATACGGAGTAGATAAGCTAGCTATGGGAGCTCGGGCTCCACCGCGAGCTCTCTCGGAATATGGCCGACCCTAGTTTCCATACGTGTCATCGCTTCAGATTTCCCGCGGGTGGTGCATAATTATGAACCTCTGGTGGATTTTGTTCCTTGCATCCTCCTGTATGGCCGTGAGCTGAGCCTTCTTAAACTCAGCAGAGATCTCAGATGGCCTGGGGACAAATAGTCTAGGTCTCTGCGTCTCCAGTAGTATAGTGAACTAAGAGCGTAACGATCACCGACTCCTGCTGCTGTACACTTCTCTTATTGATGCCTTATCTGCACACATCAATGATAGTATTGTGCTCTACTCTTGGCAATCGGAAAACGTGGCAAGAGTGTTCAATGTACTATACTACATTTTTGGAGTTCGCGATATACCCCGTTGAGTCACCAGACGCGGTCATGCTTCCCTCTCTAGTCGTGTTGGGGGCCGTTCTCTGCACAGCTTAATCTCTTCGTCAACTCCGGCTACAAACCCATGCGATTTCTAGCTTCCCAGTCTTACAGAACCCAGCATAAGGCTAAGCAGATTGCGCGATGCTGCAGGAAGTCTGCTCTTTAATTAAGGCTCCGTGGACTCAAGCGTACGTGTAATGGTGGTTTGGACCATATGTTGTAAGCTCTCTGGTTTGCCATCCAGTCACGACTTTCGTCATTTAGCACCATATCAAAGTTGAAGAGCATGCGAGCCAGAACTAAGCGCATCTCTATATAGGCCAAGCTGTTTGCAATTATGAGCCTCTCAAGTACGTATCGTGAAACTGGACGGGATCACTTACGATCTGCCAATACAGTTGCGCTTCCCCACATGGAACGGCTGGAGTACTTCTCGCTCGTCGTCTACAAATTTCGGATCCCCCTGGAAACGCTCTGGACAGAAGCTTGTGGGGTGTGTGAAGTAGGCCGGATTGCGGTATAGAGCCCGATGCCATATGGCAACGTGGGTCTGCGTTTTCAGCTTGGAAGTTGTGAGGGGGGGAGAGAGATGACACATACATTTTCGGGCACGTAGGACCCGCCGATAATACGGCCTCCCTTTGGAACGATCCTTGGCATGCCAATCGGAACTGGAGGGTACAAACGCATCGTTTCTTCTAAACAAGCCAACATGTAGTCCAGCTGGCTGACTTTGACCACCGTTATGTCGTCTTCGCTTTCAAATGCGTTTCTCACTTCGTCTGTGAGTCTAGCTAACTTGTCTGGATGGCTCAGAAGTAGGTAAGTAACACCCGAAAGCACGGTGGCGGTGGTTTCAGAGCCGGCCACAATGAGGACCGAGGCATTCATGACGAGCTTGTCCATTTCGACCTCCTATAACAGCCGTTCTTATGTTAGTTCCACCTGATACAGGCGCGAATTACGAGGCAACAAGGACTTTATGCTCACATTATCCCTGTTTATATCCAACATGGCCTGAACAAGATCAATTCGGTTGACCTTCATGCGTTCTGCAAGCTTTGCCCTCGTGTATGCCTGATGGTTAAGTATTTTTCTGGAGATGATAGACCGAAAAAGACGCAGAAGGGTCGACTTAAACCACGGGTAGTGACCCAGTGAAGACATGATGGCACTAATGTATGTAACTTGAAAAATGGGTCGCACCCAGGGGTGATAATCGGCATTCTCCAGGCAATGGTAAGATTCGCCCATCACCAAGTTGCCAATCAAGTCAAATGTCGTAAAATTGTACCATGCCGACATATCTACCTTTCCATAGGCCTCGGGCGACTTGCAATGATCCCGTAACCGACGGATAAGAAGCCCAATGGAGTTTTGGATCAGAGGTTCCATCTCCCGCAGCGTCCGGTCGGAAAAGCCGAAGCCTGCTGCTCGTCGCATTTTGGCATGCTCTTCAGCAGGTGCAAACATGATATTAGTAGCCTGACGATCCTGAACTTTATAGTACTCGTCCCATTTTGCAAAATCTTGCTTGCCACCCATGATGTCGTGCCAAGCTGACGAGTGCGCAAACGCCAGCTCGTTGGGAGCAATGCGCACCACGGGCCCATACTGTTCATGTATCGAGAGCATATCAAAGGCTAGGCGGCCCTGGATAGCCTTGATGACGAAGGGAAGGCGAAAGGCGCGCCATAACAGAGGACCTGGAAAAGTACGGAGTGGATGGAAAAAAAGGTTGTATAATGCCTCAGCAATGATCCACGAAGTGAGAGTCTAGTAGTATCATGTCAGATACCCATATTTATACCAGCCAGTCTGGAGAAACTTACCACAGCGAAGCAAAGAAAAAAAAGGTTGCCCATTCTCAGAGCTCCGTCCATCGTGATGGCTTGCTCCATGGCTTCTGATTCTGCCAGTGAAGAGCAGACGAGAAGCTGAAGCTGAATCGCTCGAGATCACGTCATAGCACTTTTTCCTCCGGTGTCCTTCATATAATGTTCCAACAGATGTGAGGCCCAGGGTGTGGATATAAATAAAAGCCAGAATTACATGCATGCATGTGTTGGTGATGCACGTACTATGATTAGTTAGCACCCCTTGTACTATGTCTCCACAGGGACTATTAATCCACTGGCATGATCCACTATCCAGGTTTCTTACATCAATAGTTCTTCCCAATTGCATGGCGCTAAGATATCTCGCATTGAAATCAGGCAATGTAAGCATGCGCGCGTCGTTTGGTAATTATCGTGGGCCTTATGTGCCACGTAGGCGCTTGGCTCTTCCTCTTCCCTGCTATCGATGCAGCTGCAGCTAGGCACCCGATTTCATGGATCTTTCGTGCCGAGTAATTCGCTTCATTTACCGAGCCGCTCTCGTAGGACGTGCTGAGTCCCTCCCTACATATATGTATAATAACACTATCATGGCCGTCTGGTGTCCTCGGTGGCCCAGGCAGTTTATATCCCCAATACTTAGTGCAAACAACGAGCAGTTGCTGTGAATCAAGACTTCAAGATGTCAGAAAAATCCGGTAACACTACGAGTCTACAGAAGTCGGTTTCAGGCGCAGTGCAACTCGCAGCAGACTATGCACACCATGCCATGAAACCTGACGGCCACTGGCTCACGGAGCTGCGAGCCACCGTCGGCTTCACGGCCGGGTACATCTGTCTACGGAACATGCTGGGGCCTCCTCTTTCAGAGCAAGAGGCAGGAAAGATGCTACAATGGATACAGTCGCAGCAGAACGCATCGGATGGATCTTGGGGCCTGCTGCCAGACAGGCCAGGAGACGTGTCGACAACGACTGAGGGATATTTTGCCCTCAAGCTCCTTGGTGTACCTGTCGAGAGCAAGTCGATGCGGCGGGCTCGGTCTTTCATTTTATCTCAGGGCGGGCTCGGCAAAGTGGGTGTTTTCACTCAGCTGGAGCTGGCCCTCATGGGTATCATTGATTGGAATGAGATGGCTCAGGTGCCCGCCGAGCTGATATTACTACCCGCCTCTGCACCCATTAGCATCTATGCTTTCAGTTACTGGTCCCGCGTCACGGCCGTTCCTATCATGATTCTAAGACATCACCGACCTGTGTACCGAATTGTGCCCGTGGACTTTCTAGACGAGCTCTACATTGACCCTAACGACAAGCACCTGCACTTTACACCTCCCTTAAGCACCCTGTGGAGAGATGGCGAGAAAGGAAGATTCTGCGGCAGTCTTGCTGACAAGGCATTGGGAATCCTGGAGCCAATGTTAAGACGAGTGCCTGTGGCGAGACCATACGCGCTTTCCTGTTGTGTACGGTATATTCTAGACCACTTGGATGCAGGCGGCTACGGCGCTTTCTGGAACTCCAATTTCGCCGCCGTCATGGCACTTCACGTCGAAGGGTTCTCGACTCAGCACCCAGCTATCCAGCATCTTTTGACGGCCATAAACACGTGCCTGTGGGAAGACGATTATGGCATAAGGATGCAAGTCACCATTGGTCCTGTTTGGGACACGGCTCTGATGGCCCTGGGGCTGCTCGAGACCGGCCTTGCGGATAGCAGAATGGACTTGACAACGCAATGGTTCAAATCGCGTCAGATATTAGAGACGCAGGGCGATTACCGCGTCCGCAACCACAAGCTAGTGCCGGGAGGATGGCCTTTTCAATATTGCGTGAGCCCCTTGCCCATGAGTCATTTTAAGCCAAAGCACTAACTCGACCCAGAACAGCCACTATCCAGACACCGATGACACACTTGTGGCGCTGCTTACTATCATCATGCATGATCCCTCAGATGTAACTTCCCAATCCTGCATTCGCGCCATTGACTGGTTACTCGGCATGCAATGCTATGACGGCGGCTGGGCATGTTTCGACTTGAACAACGATCACCGATACCTTAATCTGTTTCCTTTCGGCCAGGGGAATCAATTTTATGACCCCAGCGTACCCGATATCACCGGTCGTATTTTGGAGTGCTTAGGTATGGTTCTGTCTATTTTGTCTTCCCCAGACAAAAAGAGCGGTCCCCCACTGGTAAATCCTTTTCTCTGTCAACGTATCCAACAAGCATGCCGCAGAGGCATTTTGTTTCTGGAATCGGCGCAGGAGCCCGTGGCGGGCATATGGGGCAGCCGGTGGCACATCAACTACCTGAATGGGACGAGTAGTGTACTGTGCGGCTTAATGAGTGTCAGAAGCATCTTTGAGGGTGACCTAGAGATCAAGGAGGCAATAAACAGAATGGTTACACGCCCGCTATCTTGGCTCAAGTCAACGCAAAACGCAGACGGCGGGTGGGGAGAGGACGTCGGCTCGTATAGCGATGCACAAAAGGCCGGACGCGGTGTGAGCACGCCCACGCAGACGGCATGGGGAGTCATGGGGCTTTTGGCACATCTCCCGCCAACGGACAGCGCTGTGATAAGAGCTGTCGAGTATCTCGTCAGGACACAGACAGGAAGTCCGGTGAGCGAGGCGGTTGGCGTGGGCATTGGTGCAGGGCCTGGAGCCACCTGGACGCAAAAGGAGTATGTAAGTGTGGGGTTCCCAGACATACTATGGCTGGACTATGCCAGTTCTCGGCATGGGTATCCTATGATTGCGCTAGGACGGTGGCTACATGAGATGAAGAGAATCTTGTGAGAAGAGCAGCGTACACGGTATATTGCAGAAATTTAATGAATCGCTCCACAAGGGGAGGAGAACATATTTCTTTCAGAGGATTACTAAAGAACGGAATGTATGACTTTTCATATAGCCAATATCTAAAGTGCAAGAGGTTCTCTGTATTCGTTACCTAAACCATCGTTAGCATAGTTGGCCATCGAACGCAGAGGATTTTGCAGATTCGAGCTTGTCTGTTCCAAACAATCATCTTCAGGTACACACGGCTCTTATGAATGCTCATATCACCGGCCTGTTCAATCTGCTTGAGCTCACTGCTGTATGATACCCCGGTATTGTACCAAATACCCAGCCTTTCGCGCAATCTGAATCATCTTCATCTCAGGTCTGGGTACTCGCCCAGCGTAGTGGGCTGACAACTTCTGACTGCATCCTGATAAGTCCGGGTTAGAGTATAATTCCTTCCATATAAGAACTTGGGGTAGGAGTTGACATCTCACTGGGGTTAGTTCATGCTCCTGACGCCTGAGCAATCTATGTACGCTCTAATGCGAAATCAAGGTAGCGATCAACTCTCCACTAACTCCCCTTGGCTTGCGATCCTTAGGCTTGCAAGGGAGAAAGTTCCTGTCCAGGTACTGGCCTGATTCAAAGGAGCAAACCTGCATATGCCTTTTCTTCTCGTGAATGCGAGGATGGTATTCAATGTACACTGCAGACACAATTCTCAAACATACTTGATGCTGACTCAGATACACACCAAACACAGATATCTATGCCCGGCAAGGTACCGAAATGATTGGCTGCCTATCTGCACGGCCTGTCGCGCGGGCAGGATCGGGTGGGGCAGGCCTGTTGTGGCAGCTCCGTGGCTATGTCAAGCTTGCATGAGTTTGCAGCATCTGTTCCAACTTCTGGGCTTTTGACCGCCGATGCTATTAGTTCACGCTACCACGGTTCACAAATTGATGGCAGACAATATATAAAGGCCAGTATCATGCAGTAAGCAAAGTCCCAGGTCAGCTGGAATCTGATAGCCGATGCAGTCAGCAACAGTAGGCTAGTTTCACAACCTTTATGATAGGTTGGATCTTCAACAACAGGATTGGACTGCGGGTTAGGAGCTATGGTATCTGATTTTACGTGACGTAATGAAAAAGTGCCGAGCCTAATAACAGCACCGGGAGCTGTTGTAGTTCGTCAGCGTTGTGTCGTAGTCTCACAGCAAGTTTCACCATTCAATGCTCAGCCACGGTTTCGATTTTACCCCAACTTTTTGTTGCCGTGATGTCTTTATTGATTGGTCCTGATATGACTTCCGTTCGAGTTTCATTAGTCGGTATTTCTAAGTTTATCTGCCGTCCTGCACGATTGCAGATCAAATAGCCCGGACCGCATAATTACACCATGGTTGGTCTGAATCACAACATATCACAACATGCCTACGCTGAATATATCCGATAATTTGGGCAGAAGTAACAGCACGATTTCTGGGAACATGCCGTGTTTCACTCGGTGCAATTCATCATTGTTGGATTTGAAGTCTAAGTTACGATACTGGCGAGGTAGAAGCTGCTTTGTGTCCAACATTGATTGTTAACGATATTTCTCATTAGCTCTTGCCAGAAAATTCTGCAGCTATTTGCCGTGTATTCAATCATGTCTGTACTAAAGGTGTTAAAAAAAGAAAGGGTCGCATAACCCGATTCTACTTAGGATTTTAGTGCATGTTCAACATCATCAGTGGTACATCCGACCGCATTTCTTAATATATGAGAACAACTCGGTCATCAGCTGACAGCACAGATAGCGTCAGCCTCGTACGATGATTGTCATTAGAGAGTTGAAACGTCTGTAATGCATTGATAGCAGTCACAAAGTGTAGAGACCGGAAACTTGGTGTAGACAAGTACTGGATGTGTATAAAATGCCCGATCCTTCCTTCTACTGAGGAACCATTCCCATCCACCAAGGTCTCCAAGAACAAGCACTACTACCGTATACTCCCATCGAAAATGAAGTTCTTCTCCATCGCACTACTCGCCAGCGCGGCCCTGCCTGGAGTCCTTAGCTTTTGCTGCAGTGGTCCTCAGTGTGCCGATGGTACCGGCGGGACGCCTTGCTGTGCTACCCAGAGCTGCAACATTTTCTGCTGTGCTTGTGGCGGACGTACGTGCCCCGACAACCATTGACTCTCTGTTTCCCTTGCCCTAGGAACATTGCTGTTTTGCTTTGCCAAATTTACTCACCTAAAAATCTGACCGGTATCCAGACTGTCGCGGCACTTCGTCCAAGCGCGAGCTCCTAGCCTTCGATCCCCGCGTTGATGAGTCCATGGCGGCGTTCGAGGCTGCTGACAAGAGCGGAAATGGCAATTTGACTCTCGATGATTATCTTGAGTACATGTCTGTTCCTGACAGCAAGAAAGATATGTGGACTCAGTGGTTCGACAAGTAAGCTGTTCTCAGTGCACCAAGCCGAGCCTTTGAAGACCGAAGGTGGCTAACTGTCGTAGGCATGACAAAAACGGCGATGGCATCATCACTGCCGATGAGATCAGCAACAACTAGCCTATTGTCCACCATGACTACAGCCGTGAGAGACAGGGCAGTAAGCACGGTTCGGTGTTAGTTGAGGAAAAGGACAGGCGATTTGGAAATGGCCTAGACCGTGGCACTCATTAACAGAGAAAGACCTTTGATCTGGCATGTAAATTAACTTGGAGTCGCTCATTCGATGAATCCTATATCTCACCACAACTACAGCTGCTGGCCCGTAATTTTGACTCCGGCCTGCTTGTGAATGACGGCTGAACCAGCTGCGGCTTCTTGCTGAGCAGCTGGCAGCGCCGATGACTTGTGGTAATTGAGGGCTGAGACCAATCAGACATCATAATTGTTAGATTGGGACGGGAGGATGTTGTGCGTTGCTTCTTGCTGATATGTGCAAGCGAGCATGAAATGAGTATTCCCATTCTTTCCGTCACGGCAGTGCATTAGGTTTACAGAAGGTCCGGTGAGACACCGAACAGTGTCCGCTATATAATCCCCATATTGTCCCTCTTCCTTGAAAGGGGACAAGATTCAGTCTCTTGATGAATTGAACCATACGTTTGGCCTTCTGATTATACCTGACCTCACAACCTCTTTGTCACTTTCAGAGATTTCGTGGTACACCAGTGATATGATCAATCCCAGAAGTTCCCCATCTATCTTGTTTGATATCAACTGCATTCGTAAGTTTGTCCGCGGGTGGTTTGTACACATTTCTAGGGAATCATAGTTGCTGTTCGAGCCCTAGCATTCTAAATACACCTTTTACTATGAGAGCGCTGCATCTAGGTTATCGAATTCTTCGAGCAGAGCACTCCGGAGATTCATACGGGCGCCTACTCGTTTCCAAAGTCTGACTTATTGTTAGCAAAGACGCTCATCCAGTTGGATAGCATCCTCGAGCAGCTGTGCATGTCTATCATGTAGACAGAGCATACAACTGTTTGCGGCGTGACGACGGAACCGGATGGTCAGCTCACCGCAAACCCGGTTGTTGATTAATGGGCCACATCCATTTTGTCGATGCGTGTTTGCATCTCGTATAGCATCCAGATAAGATATACATTGTGCCACTACGAGAAGCTCTCTTACATTGCGATCATTTCACATAGTATTTCTGCGTTTGTGTTATCGCAGGGAGAGAGCCGCGGCCTGTACAAGTTGGAAAGCACGTGATACAGCCAGCGGTCAAGGAACGGACTGGCTGCCCTGGGCCTTTTGCGCTTACACACTAAGCTTATCGTGTACGCAATCGACCTGGACATCGCTAAGGACGTCGAATTTGTTCAGGGGGACACTGCTCACACTGCCTGGACGCGCTTTGCAAGGTTAGTCGCGTACTGCCAAGTCACAGCTCGGCCAGCTGCCTCCGCGTTGGCGGTTCGGCGAGCTACGTTTCGGTCTGAAATTATGGTCTTGGAGAAAGGGAACATGCTTATTATCTCTCTATTATTGGTACTGTAAGTTGATTGATGGCTAACCCTTGCTTGATGGGAACAAGTCATGCTGATCTCTAGTATCGCTGCTATTGCGGTGAAACCTGCAGTGGGCTTTCACTAACGTAGGCCCTTGGTTTCTATGCAGAGCGATGACGCCACTTTCCCAAGTTGAATCCGCAACTGTCTGCCGGTTTGACCATTTATTATCCAGAAGCATGCGCCTAATTCGCAACTATTCATACAAACCGGTTCCTTATATCGTCTCCGGCCCATGGCTGGGACTCTCGAATATATTTTCCGACTCGAACAACGCAAAAATGTTTTAAGACAGTCCGGACGGGACCCTGTCTGCCAAAATTGCTTCCAGGCTCGGCGAGTCAACGGCATAAGGCCGGCCGAGCGTGCTCACTGCACCGAGCAACGTGATTTCCGTGGAGGAATGAGACTCTCTCGTAGGTTCGACGTTGCCCAGCCTTTCATAGCGTACTCGTCAAGGCGTAGCTTCATGGATCTGACCTTCGTTTTCTTGACCTTGCCTCCACTTGTCGCTAAAAGGCAGGTCAAATCGTATAGTTCCTCGAAAGTCATCTGACGCTCGTCCCAATCGTATTTCCCAGTTCCAGATAGGTTAGGCCCCCATCCCACCTTTCTGGAACACACGTAGTCGAGGGGTGTCCTTTTGTCCGAGTCCAAAGCATTAACCTGAGCGCCTTTCTCCAAAAGCAACCTGGCTAAGGATAATGTGCTTATGTGTAGTGGAGTACATTGGGCACCCTTGTCATTCATGCGGACTCTGGTGTCGACACAAGCTCCACGTTCTAGAAGAAAGCCAGCAAGTCCTATGTGAAGATCCTCAACCGTCATCTCCTCGTTCTCGTTCACTAACAGATCCATATCTTCTCCTTGAAATATTTTCAAAACTAGAGTGCTGAATGCGTCTGGATCTTGGTGGAATGTGTACCCATTGTCCAGGAGGAGTCGGGCTGTTTGAACAAAATCTTCGTCCTTGAGTGAAACTTGCGGGTTGATGACATAGGTCAGGAGACTCTCACGGGAGTCCCGCAGGAGATTGGGAGTACGTGCCAGCGATTCCACGATGTACAAACGGAGGCCAGTCGAAGCCGCGTAAGCAAGGGGGGTCGTCTGAGTGTTGGAGATCGGGCATAGCAATGTCAACAGCCCGTTTGGGATACTGTCAAGGAAAGTCTTGATGCTGCGGCCACTCGTTTGTTCTGCGGCTCTGGAATAGATCCCATGAGGTCGCTGAGTAGTACCACGGGCAGTAGATTGCCATATGGTTTCTACTTGGGTAGAAGAGATGGATTGCGGACGTGTGTATTCTGCAGTATAGAACTGGCGGAGCTGATAGGCCTCGCTGAGAAAACATCCTTTTGCGAGGAACGTATTGCCATTCTCAACTGTAATCTTCGCTCGATCTCCAAGCACCGATCTCTTAAACTTTGGATCTCGTACGAAATCTTCTACAGTCTGATGTAGAACCTGTATGTAAGCGTCCGTCGAATCACCTACGACTTCGATCAAGCCACCGCAGTATATCCTGGACTGTTGTCTCACTAAGAGAGCGAAGTCTTGGGCTTTTGAGTGCATGAGTTTCTGTAGCATGCTACAACCCTCTTGGAAGGTCTTGCACTCGGAGCACTGGACAGCACAGAGAAACTCGACAGGGCGCAATGATTCTTTCGATCGCACTGCTACTTCCAGCATAGAATATGCTTTCCATCTATGCGCGTGCGGGATACGTTCGACGATTTCACCGTAATATAATTCCAGTTCGGTGGGGTAAGAGTTTAGCAATGCCTCGCAATCGCTCTTGGACATCTGTGTTGTCCTTGTGGCATCCGCAAGGTCTTTGACAACCAGTCTCACCCACAAGAACACGCCCCGTGAGCGCATAACGATTTCGGGTATCAGCTCCTCAAGTGAGGCTGCTGATAGCCGTTCCTCCTTGATAGTTCCCAGACAATAGTCCCCGATGTCTGCTTGGGTGAAGTCTTGGATACTGAAACCAAGGCAGCGCCGGAAAGTAACCATGAAAATGTCCCAAGGGCGACTTGAGAAACACACCTTGACTTGCTTCTTGGCTGTAGGACGGATCGAGCCTAAGTCTATGAGAAACTTGCATATGAACTCTAACCGTCCGTCATATTCGTCTATGGCGTCAAGAAAGAGGCAGAGATGTAGTGGTTCCTCATCCTGCTTGATAATGTCGTGAAAGCCTCTCTGCAATCTTTGCAACGTCCAATCTTCCGGGGTCAAGGAATCTTGGTCGAATAGTCGTTGAAGGAAGCGGCAGAGGTTCGGACAGTTTCTAATGAGCTGTGACAGAATGCTTCGAAGAAGGCCTTCGAATGATTTCTGCATTGCAGTCCCCCGATAATGGAAAAAGAACGCCACACGGGTCATTCTGCTTCCATTCCAGCTGTGAAGTAGAGCAGAAGTCCGGTGATCCTGGAATATGAACTTCATTAACGTGGATTTGCCTGAGCCTGGCTTGCCGTTGATCCAGAAAAGGCCGCTCCCCGTCTGGAGCCAATGACTGAAATTCGCCTCCGCCCGATCGTATATCCAGTCAAACGTGTTCTGATACTTTTCTTCGATTTGTTCAAGCCGGCGATCTCTCTCAGGTGCTTGGAGTGACTTCAGGATAACTAATGTCATGTCAGACGACGATTCTTCAAGTGGTAAAGAAGTCTTTACTGACCATCGTATGAAGGGGTTTTGTTTATAAGCGCATGCCCAGGGCCGTCACTCTTGTTATTGAATACCTCGAGTGTTGGGCGAGGTGCGCTAAACTCGTTGCTTCTGGTGCGGGTGAGTCCTTCAATAGAAAGAATCTGTGCCAGTTTCTGTACGACGATCAAGAAGTTTGGATCATTCTCCGAGAATTTTACCATGCTAGAGTGATTTTCATTTATTGGAAATATCGTCTGAGACTTCCCGCCCGAGGTATATAATCCATGCGTAGCAGAGTCGGGGGTGACCAATACCTCCTGAGGGCCCGTTCTTGACCATTCTCCATTCGAATCTCGCTGATTTTACATTAGGCACGGAAATACAAGAATTGGCTTGAGGCAGTGAAGTGTATATGAAAAGTTACTTACAACCACTGTGGGTGACTTCTGGGTTTCGTAACACCAGAAAAGTAGAGCTTCTTGGAGACAAGAGATTCCGTTGAACTGCACATCAAGCTGTTGAAGATAGAGGGAATCAGGCGAGAGATCCGCGACGAGTGCTCTGTTTGGTTGGCCCTCAACTAAAGCCATAAGATGCGACTGTTCCATACCAAGATTAGGAACCCCAAAGAACACTGCTCCACGTACGGATCGAAGGATAGGATCATCGCGCTCGATTTTGTTCGCAAGAGCGATGAATGCTTGTTTCAAGACAATGCCTCCCAGACTATGCGCAAGGAAGGCCAGGGGTTTGCAGTTGGGCGACGACCAACCGTGAGCTTTCAGTTGATTAATCAGTCCCAAGGCTATGTCAAAGATAGATTGGAATGAACTGCTCCCATGAAGTGTCGTATCGTAGCCGTACAGAATAGGCCTAACGTGCGGCAACGAATGCGGTAACGCATCTCTAATCCACATGAACGTCTTGGAGCCGCCTTGCGGCTGCCAGGACCCGAAAGGGTGGCTCGCCAGTCCTGATATCGCAATACAACTACACAAGTGCGACTTAGCAAGCTCCTAAGGCTAAGTGCATTTCAAGAACTTACTCCGCGACATGGGATGTGGGATCATGCAAAGGAGTCAAGCCTCGAAAATGCTTATCAATGATCAGTTCATGAGGCAAGCTGTCGACTTTGACATTCCACTCGTCGGCGCGCTTGTTGATGTTCGGTCGTTTCGCCCCTTCAAGAATCTCCGTGGCCACAGAGGCGTCATCGAACATAAGGGTGGCAATCTTGGTCGGGATCCATGGGTCAACAGAGCGTGCCAGAGAGAAGATGCGGATGGCTGTCGGCTCGACCCCCAGAGCCTTACTGACAAGCTGGACAGCATCTAGTCGGTCAACATGGGGCGGAAGCTGCCGCACCCTAAAGACCACCCGATCCATATCGCTATACCATGTATCACAGACCGAAGGACATCAATGCACCCATAATGGTGCGCTGTCTGGTCACGCCAAAGTGTCAAACTGTCAATGAGGTGAAAAGCAGTTCCTCGTGTCGTGCGGCTGAGATTGCGAGACCTGCAGCCGGTTGGGGGCCAGAAAAAGCCACTCGCAACCTGGGGGCTGGTGAACACCGCATGACTGGGGCCGACCAATCATTTCGTGAAAACTGAAGAGGCCCGAATTAGATCCCAGTCCCAGGATTACCTTAAGCGAGATCAGGCAAAGAGGGTCGACCAAAATTCACGGTATAGCTGTGGCCCGTGCACTTGCCCAATCGTCAATCTCACCTGTAAGGCCTTTTTGTCAGGCTTCCTAGGGGTGTGTAGGGACGAAGTTAGGGGGCTTCAGCCACCGCTCATGCCTCCTGAGTAGTTAATAGCTCAGGTCGCACTGCTAAGCACTGCTAAGAGCTCACCTGCAGGGTCGAAAGCGGAATGAGGGTACTTTTTCTGGCAGACTATATCGCGAGTCCGTCTAAAAGAGTTTCCTCATTTAACGCCAGTTCCCGGCTAGCCGCTATGTCACTCCTGTTCACGTGAGATGTGCGTGGGTTCAAAAGCTGCGGTATCCGATCGCACGAAACTGAATTGTGCGTATTGTCCAGTGTTTCACACGCCCGGCTGCTGCGATGTCGTCACCACGCATTCCATCGTCCTATAGACAGCCGCGCGAATGCATAACGACGTAGGAGGATTCACAAGCCAAACCACAACTCTTTCACAGTCCGTCACAACAATTCCGAGATTTTCTTTCTTGATATACAGTAGTTCCACCTATTTGCACACGAAACTAGTTTGCATAAGCAGCGAACGCTCAGCAGATACCGTAAATCCAAACAAGGTGCGATGAACCAACCAGAAAATCCAGGCATATATGAATTCGAGCATGGCGAACGGCAATGTGATGGCTGCCGCATCTCAGGGTCCGAAAACTGGCATCTTTGCCTAAACTGCGACTTTGGTATGTGCGATGACTGCTTCAAGGGGCCTCACGTCCGGAACCCGGGCCACCCATTAGCCCGAACGGTGTGCGCGCAGACAGACATGGCAACGCCAGTCTCGTCGCGGGCTGTTGAGTCACAGCTACAAAATGAACCTCTCGTCTTAGATGGCTCCGTCGACCGCGATAAGCGACGCTGTTGTCCCACATGCCTCAATTACACGCCAGACTTCATTGCTGGGGCTGGCTCGAGGGAAAAGCATGGCGGGGTGTGGTCATCGACATGAAAACCACTCATGTCCAACTTCAAAGCCTCGATGGCTAGGGGTTGTGAGCTGTGTTCCATCGTTTATCGTGGCCTGTTGAAGGCTGTTCCAGACGCTCTATCGACCGATTCAATGGTCAATCTGTATATATTCCCGCGAATGCTTATGGTCGGCAAGAGCAGAGAAAACCAGAATCCGTGGTATATTCAGTTCCACGCCATGCCGGGCCATCACCCCAAATGGAGTACTCTCCAAGCGAAAGAGCCGTTGAATGGCAGCTTTCTTGATCAACAATGTTTTAATAGGATAAGAAAGTGGCTGGAAGACTGTGAGATGACCCATAACCACCCAAAATGCCTGCAGAGAGCAGAATCTATCCTTCCCAGCCGGGTTGTTACGATACAGCCCACCCTTGGACTCCCAAGGCTCTACCTGAACGAAACACATGGGGCAGAGGGGAAGTACATCGCCCTTAGCCATTGCTGGGGTGGGTTTCAGGGATATCAAACCACCTCCCAAAATCTTGCTAAACGGATCAACGGAATCGATTACGGAGGCCTACCACAGACATTCAAAGACGCCGTGTTCTGTGCGTTACAGCTCGGAGTATCCCATATATGGATTGACTCTTTGTGTATCTTACAAAACGACAAGGAAGATTGGGAACGAGAATCGGCCACAATGTCTGACGTGTACTCAGATGCTTATTTGGTACTTGCCGCCGCCTCAGCAGAAGCGGATAATGTAGGGTTTTTGACAAAGCCGCATAGGGGCTTTCGAGGTGCCGGTTTGGAATCACGAGAGGGAAGTGGCCAAGACGACATAGTGGTGCACACCCTAATTCCTCACTCGGACTTGGACCCAAATGATTATACGGGGCCAAAAAGCCCCATCAGTATCGGCCCGTTGGGTAAAAGAGCATGGACTTTACAAGAGACCCTCCTTGCTCGCAGGTGCATTGGCTTCAATCAGTATGAGGTTGCCTGGGAATGCTACAGCACTGGAAACTGTGAATGCGGTGAACTTCAAGAGACCAATGACATAGTGACCACCTCAAAGCGTGATCAGTACCAAGGCCAGGCCGTTTGGGATTATATTATTAGTTACAGAAGTCTCGCGGATCAACGTGGTGCTTCGGAATCTCATCCTCGACCTCTAAGTCGGCTACAAGATGTTTCAACCACGTATTTTGAGTGGCGCAAGTTGGTTATACCCAATTATACCACGAGGGGCATAACTGTTCCTGAAGATAGGTTGCCCGCGCTGTCGGCGCTTGCTAGGAATGTGGGAAGTTCGTCTCGGGATAAGTATATCGCAGGTATCTGGCGAAAGGATATCCATCGTGGCCTGGCCTGGCGGGCAGGAAAGCATTGGACAGGTGCTTTACTGCCGTGTCCATCTACTTATATTGGCCCATCATTTTCGTGGGTGTCTATCAATGGGCCAATACACTACATATCACCAGACGAGACAAAAAAAGACGGCTACGCTGTATATGGATCCATTGGGATCGATATCCTGGGGTACGACATAAGGCTATCAAGTGTGAACCCATATGGAGCTGTTGAAGGTGGTTGGCTAAAGCTTTCTGCACTCTCACAAACTTTTGAGCTTCGATGGGATCCAGTCAAGGAGATATATACGCTTTTTACAAATGAGTCTGGCTATAGTCCAGAATACCACTGTTTCCGCCCAGATACACTACTTTACCAGGCAAACGTTAATGGGGCCAACAATGAGCTGTGTGATTCCGTGCTGCGGGCGACTTCCAGCAACAGCAAACAGCAATCGTTCGATACACCTGTCGAAGGGGTACTGATCTTGGATGTCCCTCGAAGAGAAGGGCTGTTTGCATGTCACGAAGTTGCAATCATGGTCCTAGGCTTATTGTCCACAAATCCAGTACAGTACCAGCGTATTGGAATAGCAATAGCCTTATTCAAGCCTGAAAGTGCTCAAAGATGGTTCGAGAGTGCTACGCGGAAGGAATTTACGATACTATAACTTGGATCCCGGAGCCCTAGTTTGTTACTGTTTTTATAATCGCTGTGTTTCTACGGATATCGCCACTTTCCCCATCAAAGCTTGCTCCAGGGAGCAGCTGAATTCCAGGTCTTGATTATTTTCCTAGTCCATTTCAAATGATAGTCTCTTATTATTATCCTTCAGCCTTTGTTAAGCGCCTTTCAGATATTAATTCGTTTATTTATGTTGCGCTGCATATTCTCTACCAGGGTGTACACACTGGCAGCTGCACGCACTAAGTAGATGGTCTCCTCGCGCTCACGTAGCGTACACAATCTATGCTTCTTACAAATCATTGAATTGACCCATACCTCGTGTATTGACACGTACCAAGGAAAGAAGCGTTTCTCATCCCACGTACCCGATTTTATTGCACACATACCGGGACGTTGATCTATGGATCACTAGAGCTGCACGTCGCTCAATACTGCTTAGCCATGCAATGCAGTTCATGCGCTGCAAACCCCTGACGGCCGACTTACCCAATTGAGACCGTGGCGTGTAAGTTTCTGTTACAGAAGTGTTGAAATATGCTTCCCCACTCGGGGGGTGTTAATTGCTTTTCCCTGACATTCTTCCTGGTCGCTATTTTGGCAGGCATTCGCCAAAAGGCTATCAAGAACAACCTCAAAAGTCTCTACAGCCGTCTTTTTCCACCTGGCAACAACACTATAAGCACTCAGCAAAGGGAAGCTTAGCACTAAACAATACGAATGGAGCTCTGCAGGGGCTGATACTCAAAAGGCTGCTCTAGGGTTGCCGAGTGAATTGGTACAAACCGGAGACCAAAGAAAAACTCAACGCCTATAGGTATATGTAACTGACATGCGACCAGAGATTGCCCCAAGATGATGTTGCATACGTTACGGCCTGGTACGGCCGATGGCGAGGAGGGAGAACGCAGCAAGCCGAGGACTCATCAAAACACCATGATGACGGTGCGTCCCGAGGCCGTGTCCAAGCACGAGACAAGAAAAAAGAGCGGTTCAAGTTGGTGGCATAACGTCTTTGGTTGTCTGTGCGGGATCTCAGCGTCAAGGTAACCATGCAAACTCATTGCTGGACGTGGTGACCGATGGCGCGCTGGAACATGTGTTGGCTATGTTGAGATGACTGACGAATTTACGATTACGGAATTGCTGGAGTTGTTGGTATTTACTGAGTACATCGACTGAGTTCCCTGCGGTGGAATGTCTTAAGAGTCGAGAACCAGACCAGGCCAATGTATCGTCATAGAGCCCCGAAATCACCGCATCCCCTGGTCTTGGGGAGCTGCAATGTGTGCGTCGACGGCATGCAGATCGATCCTTGGGTTTCCAGATGATGCGTATGTAATAGATCTGCGGAAACTAACTCGATGATCAGGGACCAGTCACCCAGCACGCCAGGCACCGGTGCTTGATTGTGCGTCTTTGCTTGACGAACAAATTCAGTACGGCCAGTCCTCGTCCACCAGGTTTAGAGCTCCACAAAATGGCATCTCTACGCAAATAAAGAAGTTGTTCGAACAAGTAGTCTGTCTGGTATCTTTTCTCCCTCGGGCTTGTTTGGGGTTTCAAGTTTCTTGCAGGCTTAAGAGACTATATGGGTGTAACTGGTACAGTGCACAAGAATACCAGCTTAGGCTGTATCTCCACCAGCCAACACTGTACCCAGGTGTCAAGCCCCAATGTCCCAACGAGCTGGCCCCAGGCCACCCTAGCCTGCCTAGCTTGATCGGATTAGCGGGAGCTAAAGCTAAAGCTAAGGGTGCTGGCTGCGCACCTGCAGCTGCCAGAAGGCCGACAGCGGGACGGCAGACGGCGGCCAACGGCCCTTGGATGGGGTTCGGTGGGTAACTTGGGTAGTGGGACCTTACTGTGGTAGGTTGCATCATCCGTCAGCTGCTCCCCCAAGGCTCACGTCCAGGTCGGGGCCAAGGGTCCACGTAATGCGAGACAGCTCCCATCTCCATCTTCGGACAGCTCTGCCAGCAGCGTCACATAGGCAGCTACATTCTGCCCCTTCGCATGATCGGGATACCCGCGGACGCGCCCAGTCCGATGCTTCTTTCTTCTTGTTGAACGAACAGCACTCTCCCTCCACCGCAGTTGAAAACGGAACGCGCTCGCATCTTCGTCCCGTTCTCTGTACCTGACTCTAGCTGAGCTCGGGGTCCGCACCAGCCCTCCGGACGACCCAACATCATCCATCCACCACTGCACAGGCTGCAGAGCTAGCTCTGGTCCGCGCAGAGCCTCAGAATGGGAGCCTGGAATGTATGTTGTAGACGACAACTTGACCTCAGATGCGTGGAAACTGATACTCCTCAAGTTCTTTAGGATAGCGGGAGACATTTCCCACATCCTCTCGAAATGCATCCTGATCTTCGCCATCCATCGTAACCGGAGCGCCGAAGGTAAGTCACGACGTTGTACATGTGTACAGCTTGCGATGCATGAGAAGGATGCTCACCACTCGAAACAGGCGTTTCCTGGATCACACAGGTTCTATACACCGTGGTATTCGTCACGAGATACACCGACATCTTCTCCGAGAGCTCGTTATGGAACCTCTTCTTCAAGACATTCTACATCGCCTCGTCGATATACACCGTTGCTATAATGCGCCTACGATACCCTCGTACGAGGGAGCGCGAGGTCGCTTGGAAGTTGGGCGCCGCCGTGCTGGGTGGCTCGCTGCTCATCTCGCCCTTTGCCATGCTGATCTTCGAGAACAGCTTGGATTGGGCCTTCTGGCTGGTAAGCTCTTTGGCCCAGGGACCCGTTACATTGCCCACTATAGTTCATATCACTAACTTTCGTGTCTCCTTCAGTGGGTCTGGGACTTCTCCGAGGTGCTGGAGTCCGTCTGTGTCCTCCCCCAGCTTCTACTCCTCCGACAGACGACCGTGCCGACCGTGATCAACTCGGGCTACATTCTGGCCCTTGGCTCCTACAGAGCTTGGTACATCCTGAACTGGATCTCGCGCAAGGCGGATCCCAACGACAACGGCGTCAACACGGTTTCCGTCATATTTGGCATTATCCAGACGGCTTTCTACGTCGACTTTGCTTGGGTTTACTACTCACGCCAGCGCGTCAAGCTCCGGAACGGTGGTGTTGTGGACGCTGATGACATGCGCCGAGGCTGGCTGTTGAGCAAGATCTTTGGCAAGCGCTTCGAATCCCTCCCAGATGACGAGGAGAGCGCCCCGGCGCTTGGCCGCAACGATGACCCCTCCTCGGGATCCAGAAGGTCTAAATGGGGCGCCAGGGGTATCTCCATCAGCGCCGATGATGATACCCATGAGCACGAAGCAAGCCGCGACGACGATGACGAATTCACTACGAGCGTCGACCCGGATGCCAAGATGAAGGATCCCGATGAGCTCGCCAGGGCACTCGACGATGATGAGGACGAAGATGCCCCGTCGGCATCCTCGCATGCAGGTACGAACGGGCGTCCCAACGGCCTAAATAACGGGAGCGAATGGCGGGATTAAGCCGTTTCCACTAGGCAGGCGTTGCAACTTTTATGGATGGGTGGGGGGAGTAGTTTGGGATACGGAGACAACTGGTTCAATTTCGGCTTATCACAGTTGGACTTGTACAGATGCGTAGAGACATGTATGGGTAACTGATTTAAGCATTCCGGAGTTTCAATTGTACCATAGGGTAGAAGCTTCAAGTCCTACCCACTACTTTGGTAGCATGTCTACATATGTCAGAATATCGGTTGATCAGCCGGGCAGGATACTGAAACACATCAAAGCACACCGAATCCTTTCTCCATGCGACACGCGTGATTTCTCTCTCTGCCAGGATTTAGCCTGAGGACCTGTACCCTGGCAACTTGCGATATACGAAAGGTGCAGCCAGTTCTATCTTTCCACCACCCATCCTTGCCTCCCGCGCTTCTTATGCCTACCAGCACCCGAACTGATGGCATCTGGCATCTTTGGAAAGCCGAGGACGTGCAGGCACCCTTGCAAATCAGCTATTCCAGGTGGGTTGCCATTATACATGCACAGACATTGACGTTGATGGACATTGGGTGGCTTGTATCGAATCACCGGCTCGACGTATCGGAAGATTTCCACCCCCATGCAAACTATGCCGTGCGCCTGGTTGCCAAGGTATGCCATATTACCAGTCTCAGAGCTGAAGAAGTGGTATCATGTACAGACCCCTTTCACCTTTCCAGGTAGTTTCCGCCCAACAGCCTTCCTTTCAACTCCACTCTTCAAGTTCCATCCTTCTCTTGCGGATACTGTCTGGGGAAACGAGACTTCGTCCGGCAGCGTGATCTAGCTGCTGCCTAGAACGCTCGCTCGCTTTGTTGTATGGCATTGGATGCCTTCCAGCCCCTAGCACCGCACCCCGAACTGCGCATGAAACCATGTGTGCGCCATGCAAGATCCGGACGGCCAGAAAGTCCTCGCGGGCCCGCTCTTCCGCCCAGCGCAGCCGGGCCTCGAGGTGACGCAACCGACCCACGATGGCTACGACGCCGTCACCGCCACCCCTTACGGGCCCGGTGCCCACACGCTCCGGCAGGCCGAGTCGCAGCAGCGGCTCCGCCCGCGCGTCTCGCAGCCCGACTTCTCCCTGCCGCAGCGCGCCGGGTCGGCCAGGTCGGACCCCTGTGAGGGTCCCATACCGCACTATCCGTCGGCCAATCCTTCTAGCTGGGGCCCCGGCCCGCACGATGCAGGTCAGGGCCCCGTCAGGATGGAAGCGTTCAAGATTGATGAGCCGCCTCCGCTACAGCCCAAGGAACCAACCCGTATACTAGGGCTCCGCGTGCTGACGTTCTGGCTCGTCATCCTGGCCCTTGTCCTCGTTGTCTCGGCCGGCCTCGCCGCCGGCCTGACTGTAGGTCTGCAGCGTCGGTAAGTTATGCAACTCTCTTAGACGGACCGGACATCCTACCTCACATCCGTATATATCGGTGTGCAGTCCAAGGGGCTACTATCTCTTAAGCACCTGAGAAATTCTACTCCTCAAGACTAACACATTGCACCCTCTTGCACCAGCTCCATCATCGCGGCCTCAACGGCAGCAACCGGCACCAACGTGCAGGGCGTCTCGTCGCCGGCGCCGACCAACCCGTGGTGCCCGCGCGCCAGCAGCGGCGTGGCGACGGTGACGCCGAACGACGCGTCGGGGACGTCGATCCGGCTGAGCACCGAGGTGGCGCAGACGTTCGCCATCCAGTGCGACACGCAGTACCCGGCGGGCCGCGGCGCCGGCAATCCGGGCGTGCGCGACATCCTGCTGGCCTACGCCCCGGACATGCTGGCCTGCGTCGCCCTGTGCGCCCAGTACAACGCCGGCTACAGCAACGCCGTGGGCGACGACGCGGCCGTCGGCGCCGGGCTGTGCGTCGCCGTCAGCCTCGTCAAGGCCGACGCCGAGTTTTGTTATCTCAAGAACGCCACGGGAGTCAATGACACCCGCGCCAATGTCGCCGAGGGCGTCGGCGTCGACAGCGCCGTCCTGCTCGGGGACTGGGCGAGCCTGAGCGAGGGCCAGCTGTGGGAGAGGTTTGGCGGCGCGTCGAGGGTTTTTGGGAATGAGAGTTTTGGGGTTTAAGGGGGTCAAGGGCGAAGGAGTTCTTTTAGGTTTAAACGGTGGAGATTATGGTTCACGGCAGTTGCTCTATATATTGGGTATGAAATTGGGCTGGCGAGGCACTTGGAGCATGGTTTCTGCTGGGATTGACAAGGCGCTATGGATGGGATGTATGAGTTTGGAATACTCCTTTAGATGGTGGATGTATATACATAGTATGTACGGTCACAGTTACTCCGCTAAGAAATAGGTGATGCGGCTGAGAAATTCACGTAAATGATTATTCTAAGGATAAACGAGGATTAATAGTTATGAGCAATCTCCTACGAGTGTTATGTTGCAATCAGTCGTGGTTGCGTCCGACCTGCACAACTTGGGTCCCGTTTTGGGCCAAGCGTTGCTGGATTCGAAACTTCGAGTCTCGTGCTCGGCGATTGGCTGAGTCTCGCTCGGCCAATGACATTGATTGCAAGTATAGTTGCAGTGTACTTGCCAACTCGGAGATATAGCGTGGCCTCCCCCACATTTCAGTATGCATAGCCCATAGGGGCAAGGCCAATAGGAGGGACTCAACCTGCGTCATGTGTGTCACTAGGGCACGACGTACGGACATTGATGTGCACCTGTGATGCACCATGAGAGAACACAAGATCATGCACGATGCCTGGGATTTGCGTGATGTTGATTGCTGGAGGACCAGGGCTTGGAGAATCGACGTGGCTTGATGGATCAACGATGCGAACGCTTCCAAGGCCTCTTCGGCACGGCTATCGCACCAAGCAGCGCCTGCCGATAATGCCCTGTTCAGGCGCAGTAAAAGGGCGACGAGTTCGACACGGCCTCCGTCCTTCAAAATAATTGAGTCAGAAACTGACATTTTGTGGGGTGTGTATGATCAAATCGAGAATGTTCTCAAAGGGCCGGCTATGCTTCTATACTCATGCTATGTAACAATGCTACGTAGTATATGTCTCGACCATGCTGTCTTCTGCTCTCGTAACTCGTGTTCATTCAAGCGTCATGTCGTCAACGACGACCACTTACATCGCTTGGGCAATATTCCAGTACGCCCTCAACAGCGCCAACCCGCTCCCTTGAGTCTCAACCGTGCGACCACGACCTCTCCTGTTCGGGTCACTTGACGGTGCCTGCCGTTTGCGCAACTCTCCCATCGGGGCGTGCTTGGTGGGACCACTGACTGGCTTCTGCTGCCGCTGCTCTTCGCCGAAGGGGCCATTGATGGGCCACTTCTCTCTCGGATCGGTGATGTCCTTCGAAGGACCGCGCCATATGGTATCATCGGGCACCCCATAGGTTCGATAGTCCGTCCCGGCGGAATGGTGGTCGATGCCATCGTCAGCCACTGTAGGCCAAACTCCCGTAAAGTTGGTCAACAGTCCCGCCGTCCACCAGGAACCAAATCTTCCTTTCGCATCGCGCGTGCCCATGGCAGCCTCGGCGTTCCATTTCAGCCAGTTGCCGTAGCTTGCACACGCCTCCTCGTGCGATTGCTGGACGGCGTCAAAAGCCTTGACATCCACGTCTAAGCCAGCTTCGGGAACGGGCGCGAGGAGAGGTGCACAGAAATAGGTGAGATGGTGGAAGAAAATGCCCTTGAAGGTCTGTGAATCTTGACTGCAAGTTCCGCTGGCGTCACATTGATCCTCCATAACCCCTAGACGTCCGAGCCCAAACCATTTCGGAATTGCGCTTGGCGCCAATGTCGAGTAATCCTCAGTAGGTTGATCCTCGATCAGGTCGTAGCCAGTTGCATTGATCACATTCTGTATCAATTTGTGACCATCTGCTAGATACGATGCGGCCCCAGATGCTTCCCAGAGGCCGCGCTGCCCAGAGAGCAGCACGCCTTGATTGTAGGTGAAGACCATGTTGTTTCGCTCATCGCACCGTGTATTGTTGCTGGCCGGATTGGCATAGCCACTGATATGAAAGCCGTCGGTAAACAGGCCTTGGGTGTTGGTCATGTTAGAACCAGCAAGCCACTTGTACCCGTCTACCGCAGCCTTCAGGAATTTGGGATCCCGCGGGCCAATGTGAACACTGGCGTCTGGATCTGAGGGATTCAACTTGTCCGTCCTGTTGTAGAAAGGAGACATATTATCATCTCCTGGGAAGTACAGGTACATAGATATTGATCCAGCAATGAATAGCTCGTTGGTGATGGCATTCTTGTATGGGAGAAGCCGTGGGTTCCAGGTCATACCTCCACCGCACAACTGCGTGTCCCAGCCATGAGAGGCCAGATCCCAAAAGATACGCGCCCGGTGGGAGAAGGCAGGCACCCAGAGATTACCATGCCAACTCTGGTTTCCGAGTATAGTCCCAATCGCGCCATCGGTCTGCAATGCCGCGTTCTGGGTCTGTAGCTTGTAGTAAAGATCCGTGTGCGTGTTGACAAACTTGACAGCCTCAAGCCAACCAAGAACAACCCAGAGGATATCGTCGAATGCCTCGCCTCTGATCTCGAATGCATTCTCGCCAAAGTAGTATGAGACCACCTGGGCAAAGTAGTTTTCGATGAGGTTCTCCTTCAACTTCCAGTCGTCTACACCCTGTGCCAATGGGCCCATCAAGGGCAAAGCCTGCGAGAAAGTGTGCAATGCTCCCGAGATATGAGTGCCCATGACCGCACCGGTCCAGTCGATTGAGTCTGGCCAGGTACCTAACCATGCGGCAAAGTACTCATTCTGCATGACATCGATCGTTTCCAGAACTTCTGCGAGAACCTTGAGATCTGGCTCAGCACTCGCCTGTTTACTTGTCTCTCTTGCAAACCCTGCTGGGGTGAATTTCCGGGGAGCGTTGGGCACACATGACCTCGATCCCGCGAAGAAAACCGGACACTCCCTTTCAGTGGTTATGCTGCTGGCACCCAGTGCAAGAATTGAGAACAGAGGTAGGCATGCTAGAAGCCGCGGCCCGGCCCTTCGAATATAAGTCATGATGGCAAATGAAAGTCGTGCTCAAATCATCCTAGAAAAAGAGCGAGATGTGTAGCGGTCATTCGCCTAAGTTGAGGAAGAGACGCGAACGAAGGGGGAAGAAGACAACGCTCGCGATCAAGGTCAGGCGGGTAGGGCTATGCCATGTTCTGGCGATGACGATAGTGGTGATGTTGCAGAGCCGTTGTTTCTACACAAAACGGATCAATGAATACGGCAATGCACAATGCGGCTTTAACCAAGCGGGAAACAGAGAGCAAAGCTCGTGGAAGTAATATGGAAGAACAGCGACCAACTGTTGCGAGTCAAGGCGGACGGGACCGGGAGTTGAAATGCGGCATAATCGTTGAAACGTTTGGTTCCTGCCGCTCGGGGCAGCCTCCCCCGCAGCATCTCTCTCAGCTGGGGCCGGCGCCCTGATGCCGCCCGTTTTCCAGCCAGGTGGATCTCGCTGGGGACTTCCCCCATGTCGAGATGGCGCAACGCTTCCTGCAGCGGCCGCCAGCGAACTAGCTACTATGGTACAGAGCAGCAGGGCAGGCGTCGCACATGGCCTCCCCGCCAAGGGGCTTTTTGCGGGGTAGAAGGATCAGTTGACGGGGCGGTGCTCGTCGGATTGGGGCTCCGAGTCGTGAGGGTCGGCGGTCATCACGAGTCATATGATGATATAATGCATTGCCAGCCTCTCGAAAAGCTCAAATAGGGGGCTACCAAATGCGAGACCACCCCGAAATATCTATGAGAAGGTTCAGCTGACAGTTTGAGATCTTGGATGCATTCATAACTCATGTAGGTTGATGGCTGCATGATGTGCCGTTGCTTCGGGCCCAGTGTTCAGCCAACATCTACGAGTACTGTAAGTCCGACGGTTGCAGCTCGCGGTTATCGAGTTGCTACAAGTATGAAAAAGACGGGGCATTACACAGTGCCCAGTAACGACTGCGCAAAATGAGACTATCTATATTGATACAGCCTGGCAAAGCTATCAGAGGGAGAGTGAATTCCAGGTTGTTGTGTTGAAGCTGAGCCCTGCAAGATTCGACTGTAGGTCGTGTTAGCGCCTGCGAGACGTAGCGTAGGTACTCGGTATGGAACTGCTTTAGCGCCTGTGGACGGCCGCAAACCCCTGCAACTGCCACCAAGTCGCTTTGGTCGCCCGCATGGATATCAATTGAGCCGTATTGTGACCTGCTAGCCTTGGCGCGTTCTAACTTAACGCGTCTTAACCAAAGTCTCCGTCATATGTCGTCGAGGCAATCAACCACAATCCTACGTAAGATGTATTCATGACCGCGTGAACTAGCATCTACGGCCATGGCGACAAGTATGTTCATGACATTACTGCACGGCAGCCTTTCCAATTGCTAATACGTATCAGGTCGCGGCGAGCGTATGCAGGAGCGCATGCGCGGGGCAGGGTGGGTGAACCGTTGTCTTGCGAATCTGCGATTTATTACTTGCGACTGACCTCCGAGTGTAGCCGTCACGAAGTGGGAGATGATTCGTTCGGATTCGTTCTACCCGTCGAAGAGGACCCTGACGATGTTTCCTCGTCCGAAGCGACGCCTGCCCCGACACCAGCACCCGAACCCGCACCAGCAGCAGTGCCTTCAAGCCGTTCAACACCCAACACGTCAGCCAAGAGACGTCGGTTGAATGCACAGACAGAAGAATCTGATCCTGTAGTAGCAGAGCCTTCTGCAGACCCAAAGCCGACCTCCCCGGAGCCAGTGGCTTCAGCGCAGCCGAGTAGCGCTTCCAAGAATGACCCCTACGACATCGGGCAAGACACTTCCAGGGAGGAGGAGCCCCCTGTCGCACAACTATCACGACATGAGGAGCAGGAAGTCGAAAATGCGGAAGATAGCCTTGAGTCGTTGCCAGAGGCAGTCGCACGCTCGGCATCCAGAAGCTCTGTTCTGTCTGCGGGGCCTCATGTCACAGAAGAGGTCACGGAAAGCCCAATTGGTGCACCCGGTAGTGGCCACAGGCGAAGAGTGAGGGCGAGCGACGTGACCACGCAGAGCGCCCAACTGCAACGTATGGTCATGGCTCAGGAGGCTAGTATAACTGAGGAGCTAACAAACTCGTCGCCATTGACGAGGAAGTCTCTCAAGAGTGGCGTGACGCCGAGCGCATTGTCTGGCAGGTCCATACGCACTGCTGCGAGATCTACACTGTCAAAGTCTGCCGCCGGCGCTGATGCCGATGAGCTATCGCCACTTGCCCGGCCCCCGAGGAAGAGTACCAGCACAGCAGGCAGCGGGTCTGCACGATCAAGTCTAAGCGCCACTCGGCGAAACACCCTGAGTTCTGTCGCCGACGAGCCGGATGAGCTGTCCTCGCCCGTTCCGCTTGTTGAGAGTCGACGGAGGGCTCAAGCAGCCAAGTCCAAAGCAAAGCGGCCAAGGCAGCCCTCTGTAGTTGTTGAAGACAACGAAGACCAAGAGGAAGAAGACGGAGCCGAAGATCAGGTCGAAGAAGCTGAGGGGGCTGTCGAGATTGATACACGTGAGGCCGCCCAACGCATTGGGAGAAAACGACCGCGTCCCAGCCCGCCAAGGGAAGAGTCACCCGAGCTCGATGCCCGCCCAGAAAAGAAATCTCGGAAAAAACGTGCGAAAGACAGCCCGGCCAGACAATCACATCCTAAACCCAACAGAAAGGAGAAAGGAGAAGATGCACAGAGTCGGAGAAGACGGAGTGGCGGTGATGAGCACATTCCTGTCACCGTCCAGAGATATACTAAGCCTCTACACTATAATGAGGACGATACGGATGCCGATATCCTAGCTGCGGAGATTCCTTTTGCCAACCGCGGAGGCGTCAATGTAGTAGATGTGCTCTCGCAAATGTGTGACGAAGTCATCGACTCCAACCTCGCTACACTACACAACGCAACCGTCAACGCCAAGGACGCCGCCACAAAGAAGGAATATCGCACCAAACTACGGGCTCTCGAGGCGTTCCAAGAAGAATTGCGAACCCGGTTGTTAGAGCATGTAAGCCGTCACCCTATGTCAATACAGATGAAAGCAAAACCTTTTGCTAACGGAAGGGCCATAGACCATCGCGCTGGATACCTTGCACGCGCTTAAGAAGCGGGTTCGGTCTATACAGAAGGAGAAACTAGGTCTACGAAACGATATAGTCCGTATTCGGGCCGAGAGAGAGCAAGTGGCCCTAAAAATGGATGCTGTTCGAATACAGCATGAAACGGAAAGTAAACAGTCCCTGGTAAGATACGCCCACATACACATACGCAAGTTCTAGGTTTTCCCCGTCGCTTGTACTCATGCATTCCCAGGATCAACTGAACCTTTCGTCTACTATGCACGATATCGACCTCGCAGTCGAGAATGGCCGTCAGGCATCTGAACTCAACCTGAAGGAGCAAAGGACTGCCGAGCTAGCGAATCTCGAGCTTCTCATCTCCCGGGTGGCAGATCAAGCATCTGCAACAGGAGGCGGCAGTGGTAATCTGAAGCAGATCCAGGAGTTCAACGCGTTCTTGGAACGAGCGGCCGTTGCTCTGGAGGCAAGATGATGGTTCCTGTGATACTAGTGTCGATGAACCATCCGCGCCCCGACGCGATTTTGACGGACGGTTATTGTGCACTTCCTCCCTTCAATGCAAGGAAGAGCGCTCGTAGCAGTGCAAAGTTACATGAGATGTATCATGTATCTATGCGGGCAGTATATACCCGCTCAATGGCTCGAAAGTGGTCATAACGGGGGAATAGATGCCAAAGGTCAAGGTCTGACACTGCTTCAGGAGGAATAAGAAACTAGTATATTACGAGGGTCATGGGCAAATGACTAGTGAATGGTCCTGGCCGGGGATGTAAATGGGTAGGGTTTGCGGTAGTTGAGCCTGCGACTTTACCAGAACAAGCCCGAGACCCACCCTTCTAACATTGGAACACGCCATTCACTGACGAATGCACACATGTCAGTTGCGGCTTGGCCGATTCAAGCACCCTAGAACAGAGTTTCGTTGTCAGATGCCCCTGGTTAAACCACAGTAGTGGCTTGGACATTTGATAAGCTTCAATCTGGCTCCGCACGGACGGAACGGTGAGGGAAGCGCCTGGATCCCAGAAGCCCAATCGAGGCACCAATAGTGGTGCCGATCTTCCGCTTAATAAGAAAAGAATTGCATACCAGTGGACATGTCTACGGCTGTGCAATCATTTCATTACCTAGGGGGACTCAAAGTCTAATTATCGGCACTCGGCAACTGATATCTGAGGCGCAATAAAGTACGTATTCCGCCGACAAGCCGTGGGCGCTTGCATGGGCATTGATGAGGGCCATGTGGCCCACGACGTCCGTGAAGCGCATCAAGATTCTGTGGCTTCGGGTTACCTCCCGCGTCGTAGCCACGCATCGTATCCCCAGATAGTGTATCGGCGGGAGCCAATCCTGTTTGCGGAATGGCCAGCGCATATCCAGTCGTTTCAAGGTTGCCAGGATCTGACCACCTGCATTGGACTACTGTATGATGGTGGTGGTCCAACAAGCTGGCGGGCCCCCCTCTGAGCGGCATCTACAGTAGTCTGGTGATCCCCTGCCGAGCTTACCAAAACAAGATGAGAATCAAGGCGTGGCCGAAATGGCAGCTGCCATTGCTCTGGACGTCCTTGCGCCATGGGAGTTGGCGGTCTGGCTGAGTGATTTCACGGCCGTGCCGTCAGAGGCGCCCCCTTCCCTCCCGCCTCGGTATTAGAAGCGCCCTCCTCTCTTCATCCCATCTCTCGTCCTGTTTCCCACTGATCTGCTCCATATCCAACGCAACTCACCACCAAGACTTACTCTCATTTCAACCGTTTGCGACCACCAAGATGCCTGCCCCTCAAGAGCCCCAGCAACAAGCTCCCATGGATGCTTCTCCCGAAAACGGAGTCATCGCCCAGCAGCCCGTACGTATTTCCCGCAGTGACCTGATGGTTCTGCCTGTGGTTCACTCTTCCATCGGGGGATGTTGACTAACACTGATGAACCCCGACAGTCCGTCGAGCCCCAGCCCGACATGAACCTGCGAGGTGGTGAGGAGGCTGGCTGCGAGCTGTGCTGCGGCATGTGCGGTTGCGATGAGTCGTGCTGCTAAAGCATCTCCGACATTGACGAGTTACGACCCAAAATCGCGCAGCCCACCAACCTCGGGGCCTGGATGGACTCTCTTCACGGGCACGGATGGACAGTGTAAATGATCGGAGCCAGCGAGTTTGATGGCTGAATGACAATTAGCGACACCCTATCCTCTTGGAGTCGCACTTACAAAATATATCACTGCCATTTCAATTGACTGATCGCCATCAACTGTGCCGTCACTCCATGATTCTTCCAGTGTCGCGTTGCGTCCCCAATGCTCTACAGCTTGCGACATTTGCCCCAGGGACCATCGTGCTACTTTATAGACGTTTCATCCGATGATGCCATCCTCCCGTCATCCCGTCGGTCCAGGGTCCATTCTCCCCCAACCCACTGTCGAATTAAGCATTTTGATGTGCTGAGCCAAGACGGCCTTGGCAGACCTAGCTGGCTTGGCGGGCCCGGTTTGGGCAATGATGATGCGGTGCTCCCGCGATTACTATGGAGTCCCCCCCAGACTCGCTGACTCTTGTCTCACCTTGTTTTCCATTGGCGGCTCGCAGAAACACTTCTTGGCATTGAGAAACGTTCTTTCAGGCTCGCCGAATTATACGTTAGCAGATTTGCATCACAAGGGTCTACAGCTATGCTCAATGTTTCTGGCTTCCGCGGCCCTCGCGGCCCGCCTAGGTACGTGTGCGACCACGTCGCCATTGAGTCGGACCACTAAAAGCATCCGTCCACTGTGCTCTACAGGGCTGACTTCCACCTGCGGCAATCTTGCAGTTGAGTTAACATGAGACTGCCACGGTTCGGTATACCGCCTCGCGGTGCGCCCGAAAAGAAGAAGAAAAAAGACATTGTTACTCTGCGGCCAACGCTTCACAATTTTGATTCCCAACGGGATGAAAGAATCATATTTACGGAATATATCGATTCATCAGATGAAAAGGTCTCAATGAAGCGCTATCGCATGCATGGTCACAAACGCCTGACCCCATCCTGACACAAGTGTCCTAATCGAGGCATGTGAACCGCATTGCATCGCACCAGTCATGTTGATCTTTTCTCATTGCTCCGTCCTCGCTGTCCTCGCGCAATACCTTCCACGCAAGGCAGGTGGTGCCCTTTATTATTGGCATTTGCGATGAAATCAGTGCCGCGCCCTCAAGATGGCCGACGACCGTATCGGTGCTAAGGGATCATCGCGCCCACGGCGGGTTGCTGTGTTTCGCGGCCAGCCAGCAGAACAATGGACAACCCTCCGAGGTTCATCGGACCTGTCAAGGCTCTCATTCGCGGTCCCTGCTTATTCCAGATCTCTCGTTGTGACGCCGTCCGTTAATTACATGTCAGTCAAATCACCCACGCAGGCGCCGCAGAAGAGTCCTGGCCGGCTTCTCATGCAAGCACACCCTTTCACAATAGAAGAGCGCTGAATTTCCATAGGTAGGCCTCAGCCTTAATCGTTGGCATGGCTAATGCCGAGGGGCAGGAAGATGAGCTCCCCTGGAGCCGCGGCGCCTGTGAGGCCCGTATCAAGCAGATGCCAGTGGCCCTGGTCGCACTGCAGGATCGCGCCCTCTTCCGGGTCCAGCTCCGGGATCTCGAGCTCTTCGGCGTCTTCGTCGTCCGTGGGCTGAGCGTCGTCACCTCCCAGGGTATTGTCATCGAAGAGATTGTCACAGTCAAACACGTGGTCGTGTTCGGCGAAATGAACGTGCGTGTCTGACGACATGGGATGCTTCGCCTTCCCCTTCAATCTACCCTCGATGCTCTTGGATGAGCCGGCCTCGTTGGGCAGAGCAGTATGCATCATCGGCAGGTCTTTTAGGGCCGCAGTGGAGTGCATTGCCGCAGGATCATTGAGCTCAAGGGAATTCATTTGCTTGCGGGCAGCTATGCTGGCATCTTCGTCAACAAATGCCCCCTTGACCGAGACCAAGAGTCTGCCTGGCGTCTTGCCTTTCTTGCTCCTGGACTTCGAATTCCCCTTGGCCGCTTCTAGCGGTGCACGGGCGATCTCGACATTGAGAGGGGCGTTGGACAGCTGGTGCGCACCGGGGAGGGGCGGGTTGCAGGCGTCGTCGAGCATGCCGACTATTGCCTGGAACGCCTGGTCAATCGTATCTTTGGCCAGTCCTGACTGCTTCTCCATGGAGTTTCTGAGCGCCGTGTTCTCTGACAGGGTATTGAGGAGGCGGCGGGACTTGGCCCAGCTGTTTCTGGGCGACTGAGACTCGCGCGCGCGTTTCCTGCCCCTGACTACCACATCGTCCAAGTCATCCTGACCGTCGCCGGCTTGCTGTCCCTCGACCTGGTCTCCGCCGAGATTCAGACTCGAAAGCGTATGGCGAGCCTCGAGCGGGATGTCTCGCTTGGCCCGAGGCCAGTCGTCGAACTTCAGGAACGGCTTCGAGTGCGGTATCACGGCCAGATCACAAGCGGAAGGCGCCTCGAGGTCTCCCACCTGCTCCCACGCGACGCCGGTCACCCGCTTCCACGACGCGGCCATGAGCCCCATGATCTCCCGGAGCGTCGGCGGCTTTGTGTCCGGGTACCCGAGATTCTGGGCCGCATGGTCGAACATGGGGAAGTTGCCGGTACCGCGGGACAGTAGCCAGGAGTAGACGAGCCAGCCGAGGCACCGGATCGGCCCGCTGTCCTGGAGGAAGCCGCAGACCTGCTCGCGCAGCCGGGCCTCCTTCAGCACGCACGACTGGCACGGCCGCAGGAGGAACCCGGTCCGGATCTCGGTCTGCAGCGGGCCCTTGCATGCCAGCGCGAACAGCCACTTCCAGAGGACGCCGTTGGGCTCGTACTCCATGTCCGCGATCCACTCCTCGCCATCGTCGCCGTGGCCTTTGTCCTCCATCACCATGGTCGTCTTGCACAGGTTGCAGCGCGGGATCCATGCCGTCAGGACACGGTGCCGGGCCTCGCTCGACCTCTGGAGCCAGCGAATGTCGATCTCTTTCTGGGCCTCCTCCGACAAGTCACCGCCGCCGCCGGCCTCAGCCAGGGCCTCGTCGTAGTCCTCGGTGTATATGCGGAGGATCTCCTCCTTCATCCAATCCCCAAGGGCTAGCTGGAAGCTCTCTGGGAGGTGGCGGAACGGATCTAGGACTGCGGCGGCGGGGGGCGACGCGGCCTGGTTCTGTTGTTTGCCACGTTGGGTGTTTACGCTGATCTTGAGTGCGCGGTTGCGGCGCGCTTGCTTCTGTTGTTGGTGGTGTTGTTGCTGGTACTGCCGGTAGAACTCCCTCCTCGCCGTCGCCGCCTCCCGCTCGGAACTCTGGCGATACGTCTGGTAGCCCTCGCCCAGGCAGTCCTCGCAAATCCACCGACTCAGGACGCAGCCGTCTGGCGGCCACTGGGTATTCGGGCAGTGGAATCGCTCGCCTAGCTGGGGCAGAGCGCCATCGAGACTGTGCCCCTGTATCAATTCCTTCTTCTGGCTGATCAGTCCCTTGAAGTAGTTGCACGGCTGAAGAATGAAAGTGTAGTCGGGCTCGTCGGCTTGAGAGGCCCCTTCTCCTGTCTTCCCGGCTTGCTTCAGTTTGCACATGAGGCAAGTGAGCTTCTGGAGGTGACACATGATGGCGAGGTATGAGACGGGATGGAAGTGACTGGCGGTGGTCTAGCGACGTGGAGTGTTAGGGCCTCGTGGTTATGACGTTGGCGGCGATGATATCTCCGAGGGATTTCAAGCCTGGTGGTCGCCGTGGATGCGTCTGTGATTTGAGGTTTGCTCACATGGGCAGCGCTGATGGTGAACCTAAAGCTCCCTATCAATTAGCGAAGAGGGTCCCATTAGAAGAACGGTGACTGAGGATGTGTTGCTTGTTGAAATACGACAGATGGTATGCAAAAGAGGATCCGTTATGAGATGAGCGAGAGGTGAATCCACCGCACGCTACTCGAACTTCATCCAGACAGCCTACTCAAGCCGCTCTTTTGAGACCCGAAGTGAGCAACCCTGTAGACCCATCATGAACGGGACTTGCTGGAAAGGAAGCGGCCGTCTTGAGACCACACAGACAACAGAAGGCATACCTCAAATCGCGTTCCTCAGCATCAATGATATTGACGGACAAGGTGAGATCTTGACGCCTCGCAGTCTGATATCGCGATCCAGATGAGTATGCTCAAGAAGGTGACATCAGAGGGCGCGATGGGGAAGCTGAAAGCTCGCCGTTTGCAGCCTCAAAGAGTGATACTAGGGCAGGAGAGAATAGTCTGAGATGAGTGCCGCGCGTACCACTGTTGCTAAGCACCAACGAGATCTTGAGATGAGGAACGTGCCTTCAGAGGTATCGTGAATGCGATCTGAAGGAGCGCGGGGTAATGAGCGACCTGGGAGGAGAATGAGAAACCCCTTGCTAAGCAGGCAAAATTCACTTGGTGGTCACGGCGGTCATGCGCGTCGGTGGATTGCGTAGGGCAGTGAGGTAGCCACGGTGATGCCGGCGCAATGGGTTGTCCAGGCAGGCTGATCGATGCCGGGAACCCAAGCTACACGATGGTATTTGAGCCAAAGCGGGTTGTCAGTGGAAGATAATATTATGACAGGTAGGTCATGTAGAAAGATACTCGGTGAGGAGGATCCAATCGATATGTGCAAACGGGAGACGGCATTTTCTTAGGAGAGACATCCTTTTTTTGCGTCATGATGAAAGCAAGGCGGCGGTTTTCAAAATGTTTAGAGCTGGCTTCATAACGACTCACCATGAAATCACAGGGCTGAAAATACGAGCGAGACTTTGGCATGAGTGACTGCCGCTGCTGGATCCAGTAGGGTGACTTTGAATGGCATCCTCCTTTGGTGGTTGCACAATCCGACGGACCTCACACACATTCTTTGGCAGATGTCAACAATTATGACAGCAGTTCAATAGTCGTTGAGTATTTTGACATTCCGCTTCATAGCCGAGAGGTACATCCATAGAGCTGGCGACGCAATGAAATATTGTCGTTAATGGGATGAACCACAAAAGTAACAATCAGGACATACTCCTACATCCTATCAACTCCAACGTGTAGTCTGCTGAGCGGGCAAGTATCTTTGATGTCAACCAGATGGAAGAAATCGAGACAGGTTGGGACCAGCTTCTCTCATCCAGTCCTCATCGTGTGTATGCAAGCATCATTACAATGATGCCTCGTTAGTGTGAAGCCCATCAACGTGGTAGGCTTCTGGATCGGGGTCGATTTGGCAGATTCATCAAACAAGCATGAAATTACAGCATAGTCACTGTCGATCACGCATTCATTAAACTGGTCTCCCTACTATCCCTCATCAATTTGCAGTCGTTGAAGACCGCAATGTACGATTCTGAGGCAGCTCAGTGCATCCAAAAACGGCTTGAACAGCCAACCATCAATTATCTAGGTATATCCCGTGATCCTACTGCCGTACACACAGGCCGTGCCATCTTAACGGCCTTGGCAGGTTAAACCTTGAACTCCGCCGAGTGATGGGAAACCATCCACGCACTCCAGTAATCCATCCAGCTTTCCGCTGGTCCCGTTTTGCCCCCAGATGTTTGCAGTAAATATGTACATAGGTTGTAATACCAGGTCTGTTCGCCGAGGCGACTAACCGAAACGCCGCTGGAACTCGGCGAAGAGCTTGGGGCTGATCTCGTCACTGCTCATGCCCTCAACCTCCCACAGGACGCCCTTCTTTGCATAGTGCTCCAGCAGAGGCTCGCTCGTCTCTTGGAACTTCCGGAACCTGGCCCGGTAGATTTCTTCGTTGTCATCGGCCCTCTGCACAAGGGGCTCGCCAGTGACGTCGTCGATCCCGTGGACCTTGGGCGCGTTGAAGGAGGTGTTGTAGACACGGCCCGAGGGCTCGTGAACCCACCGCGATGAGATCCGCTGCATGATCACATCGAACGGAGTCTTGATCGAAACAGCCCAGTTGATGGGCACAATGTCGTCGAGCTTCTCGGCCTGCGGCGCAGTGCGGGGGAACCCGTCGAGCAAGAATGACGCAGTCGGGTCGTCAGACGCCTGGGCTGACAAGGTCGCCCCGGCAGCCGGGTTCCTATCGATGGCAGCGATGAAGGGGTCGGGGTCCTCGTACGCCTCTGCGACGCCCACGGCTGACGACGAAAGCGTCATGACGTTCGAGCGCCCGCCGGAGAGCCATCCACGCTGGCCGAGCTCGTTGGTGATCAGGCGGAGGATCATGTCGTCGGGCACGAGGCCGCCCGACTTCATGGTGCTCTCGACCTTGATGCCGAGCGGGGTCCGGTTCTTGACATTGTTGCGTAGCAGGTCGCCGGACGAGATGGCCGTGAGCTGGGGGAACTTGCCGAGCAGGCGCTCGGATTGGGTGCCCTTGCCTACGCCCGGAGCGCCGACGAGGATGACGCGTGCTGCCTTGCGCAGGCGCATAGTACGTCGAATCTGGTATACGTCCAGCCGGTGTCCAAGACAGAGGCGGCGGTGATGTAATCGGAGGGGCAGAACTCGGTTGTCCGAGGGCCCAGCTTGAAGCCTGCGACAGGCGTCGGTTCGTTCTGCGATGTCTAAGGTGGTTGTGGGCGACTTTGAGAGAGAGCTACGGAGTGTCCGGACTTGACTCTTCAACAAGGCGAAATGGTGACGGGTACTCGTATTGATAAGCAGCGCGCGCAGGTACCCGGCGTTGGGGAAGGGGCGGGGAAGTGCGTCACACTGAGTCGGTGACCCGAGGGGGATCGGGGAATGGCAGTTTACAAGATATCCATGGCGTGGCGCAAAACGACAATGAGGAAGTGAGTCTGGGAAACGGCGTGGACGTCGCGAAGGCTACTTGGGGGTCCAGACGGAGAGGTGGAGCGCAGAAGGAAAAGACGGTCCTGTCGCCAGTGACCGTGGTGGCTTTAACTACTACTGTGGTATGCCCTGCCGTAGGGGTACAGGCGACCTTCTAGTATCTTGGTTGTGGGGAAGAGGTGATCCGGCGCAGTGGTCTTGGTGGGATGGCGCGCCTATGAAGAGACAAATGTTGAGATTGCGACAGGCGTGACAGGGGGGCACAGAAGCTTGAGCCAGTGTCGCGTCCATGCACTCCACGTTCTGCCAAGCCCGTCGACGTCCGGCTTCGGCTCCCGAGTCAAGATCCACCCGGAGATCTGACCCAGTGTTAAACCCGAGGCCCTACTGCTGACATATGCAGAATCCCATCACCAAAGTCCTGTGGGCAACCGCGCTCAATCACGTCTGCGATATGATCAAGCTTGCCCGCGGGTATGCCAGGTCAGTCGCGCTGTGAAGTGTTGAGTCGTACCATTCCCCCCCAAATACCCCAAAGGATGCCCGGCACTTGAGACAGCAGCGGCATGTTATATTTGCTGTCTTCTCATTCGACATGGAGCATGCATGCGCCTGCAAAGTTACATTTGACGCAGTGGTGCAACCACGTAGCCCCTGATCAAATGTGTGCTCTCGATAGTCCCCGCGGTTAGGTATTCGATATCTCCCCAATCCCCGCACTCTATACCTAGGCACTGAGTCCTCGGCCACATCCTTCGACCCGGGGATCTTCTCGGCACCACCTGCCTACAACACCCGAGTCCGCCCGGGGCATGTGATGGAGTGAACACTTTCGCCTTGATGAACTGCCGCGGGAATCGCACGACACGCCATAAGCGGGCAGGCATAAATGTTCCACGCTCTGGATGGCTTTTGCCTCGATCGAGCTCCCTTTCCTTGACCTTTCACAAAGCTCCGTCACAAAGCTCCGCCTCGGTTCTAACCGGGTTTTGATCATATGTCATTCATGTCCTGTTTACATGCATTGGATAGGCCTGTGCTATAGGTATTCTCACAGAGCTAGCTAAGTCAACGTCGTTCGCAGAACTGAACCATATTGCTCATTCATTTCCAACAACAAATTGATATGATGCCTGGCAACGAGACTCAGGCCTGGAGAGTCATGTCTACATGCTCTTACCGAATGTAGGTTGTAGTACGTACTCTACAATCTTTAAAAAATGGCACGTACAGTATTACACGTCTTATGGTGTATTCCGAGAAATGCAGAAGGCTTTATATCCTAATCAATGTTTGGAACCAAACCAGCACACATCGATATAAACATCACAGCATGGGAGTAAACCTTGCGGGCTGGCTCGCCTATAATAGTGGCGTGTGCCTGGCTGTAGGATGCAACGTCCAGGAAGGCCCCCAAGTCTACAATCGCTCCTCGTGCAGGTAGGATCTCGTGCAGTAAACGGTGCTTGAGGGGAATCATTGTATTGCCCAGGCCAAAAGCTCATGTCCGAGACGCTCAATATACATGTTATATCCGACGGTAACCCATCGTTGCCATTCATGACTGCCATCCCATGCAGATCTCAGTTATACACCCCCGAGAGCTTGACCGAAGCTCACAGGCCTCTCCCTATCGTACAGCCCGAACAAAAATAGTACACCGCGCTTATTCACGCATCTTTTTAACCACCGAAGCCGAAACCGCCACCGCCGCCACCAGCAGCGCCTCCCCTCGCCGCTGCCTCCTGCTGCATCATCTCGGAGACCTTCATGTGGACGTCGAAGAACTTGGCGGCGCACCGGTCGAGGCAGACGCTCTCGCCCTTGTTGAGCTCGCCTTCGCGGTAGTCGTTGGGGACGCACTTCTTTGCGCAGACGCGGGTCAAACTAGAGAGAGACTCGTAGGTTAGATGACGGACTGCAGGTGAGCGTAGGAAGCTGCCCGTTCTGCACGGGGCACTGGAGGCTCGTACCGGTTGTGCATCTCTGTCAAGAGCTTCATCTCGGCCTCGACGGCGGCAATCTTCTCTGCCGACGTGGGCTGGGGACGACCGAATCCAAGAAACGACATGATGCTAACGGTCGTGCTTGGTGTCTCGCTGTTTGGAATTGGTACAAAAGGGGTTTGGGGGGCTCTAGTGGTCGGCTTGAACTGAGGCTGCAAATTGTCACGAGCTCCAGTTCGGTCTGGTACTGCAGGGAAGCAAGAAGCTGATGAGCTCGCCGGATTTGACGTCAGGATCCGGCAGGCGGTGAGACCAAATTTGCGTGGACTAATCCTCGGCCCGGCGGTCCCATGGCACGAAAACACCCAACCTAACTGGGCAATTGGAACTTCAAAGACTGCAGCTCCATAGAAGAAGAAAAAACCCTCCCATCTCAGAACTTAGGATTGTTAATCCCCCCCCGTGGTGCCCTCGTGGTTCATTCCACTTCTCGGGTGGTCTGTTGTGTTGAGCATGCATTCGCGTTTTGAAGCGTAGCTTAAACTCGATCCAGCCAGAAGACCTTGTGGTAAGTCATATACTCATCTGCCCTGCCCCTGTGAATATCCGAAATGATGATTCTGCTTTTTCAAGAACCGTTGCGACTGACACCACTCGTGGTGCTTGATCTCATTTTGCCAGCTTATCTGATCCTCCCAATCTTCTCCTCTTCACTACCACCTAAACTCTTGCCTCGTCTCCGTCGCTGACCCAGGAGAGATAGCCTCGCCATGGCGGCCCGCGCGCTCGCTCATATACTGCGGCCCTACGCCGTTCAGCCATTGCCGGTCAATGCTGCTGTGTATAGCCGCTTGTACTCACTCGTGCAACCACCATGCATACGAGCGTACGCCACCACGAAGAACCCGAATCCCCGTGAACCTAGGGACCAGAAGAAGCTCAGGCTACGCAAGAAAGGCAAACCTAGAAAACCTGCTTCCGACAACTCGGAGAAGCTCAGTGGACATAAGAACCCGGAGCCCAAACAACCTGCTTCCAACAACTCGGGGGAGCTCAGTGAACCTACGAACCCGGAGCCCAATCAACCTGCTTCCAACAACTCGGGGGAGCTCAGTGAACCTACGAACCCGGAGCCCAATCAACCTGCCTCCAACAACTCGGGGGAGCTCAGTGAACCTACGAACCCGGAGCCCAATCAACCTGCCTCCAACAACTCGGAGAAGCCCAGTGAACCTGTTTCCACCGCCACCAAGGTGGCACAGCGCATACAGAAATTGTTCGAGCTGGATGCGCTCAAGTGGCCACGCATCGAGCACCCAGAGGGTGTCAAGTACATGAACAATGCAGAATTCAAGCGTCGGTGCGGTGACAAAGATTTCAAGCCTCTGCCGGGGCAAGATATTCAGATTCGGGGCAGAATCATTCGCGTCAGAAAGCAAGGCGGCAAGCTGCTCTTCCTAGACATCATGTCTAACTTCCACACAGTTCAAATCGTTCTAGATTTTGGGCATATACAATCAGTCTCTGATGTGACGCTGGAACAGTTTCAAAAACAACGGGATGCCTTCCTGCGGGGCGATTTCGTCTCTGCAGAAGGATCTCCCGTCCGCACTCCTGCGGGTGACCTCGCCCTCAAAGCCAATAAGCTGCCCTATCAGCTAAGCCCAAGTATTGCGCCTGTGCCCCGCCGCCTCATCAACGAGGAGACCAAGGTGCAGAGTCCTCATCTCAATTTGCTTCTCGTCCACGAAGCCTCCGCAACCATACGCTTTCGGTCGGAGCTGATATGGTGGCTTCGAGTGTTCTTCCAGAACAAGAGATTCATCGAGGTTCAGACTCCGATCATTGCTGACTATGCTGGCGGAGCAGCAGCTCGACCCTTCCTCACTTCTTCCACCGAATTTCCTCGCAAGGAGTTGGCACTGCGCATTGCACCTGAGCTCTGGTTGAAGCGCATGATTGTTGGAGGATTTGACCGCGTGTTCGAGATCGGGCCCTCCTTCCGAAACGAGGGCCTAGATAGCACGCACAATCCTGAATTCACCACATGCGAGTTTTACCAGGCCTATGCAAACCTGTCTTCTCTCATTAGCTTCACCACCAATCTTATCCAGCAGCTGGCATTGTTTAGTGCCGCGAAGTGGGAGAAGTGGGGCTCGAAAGAGCGGTATGAGTTCGAGCCCGACTATTTCGTCAATTTCAAGCAAGTTGAGTTCATTCCAGCGTTGGAGGAAGCCCTGGATATCAAGTTTCCCGATCTCTCTGAGACGGATGCATTAAGTCGTCTGCGTAAGACGCTTCATGCCAAGCTAGGCCACCAACCTGCTCCAGGGGCCTCCTTGAATAAGCTGCTAGACACACTTGCTGGTAAATACCTCGAACCCGAGTCAGATCACGCGCCTCTGTACATCATCAATCACCCGGCCTGCATGACTCCTCTGTCCAAGTCATTCACCTGCCCCAAGACTGGCCAGTTGGTATCGGCCAGAGCTGAGCTCTTCATCAAGGGCCGTGAAATCGCCAACATGTATGAGGAGGAAAATGACCCATTTGAGCAACGGCGGAAGTTCGAGCTGCAATTGCAAGCTCGCAATGCCGAGGGGGCTAGCCCTGAAGATGGACAAGCTGTGGTTGATGAGAGCTACATCGAGGCTCTTGAGCATGGGCTGCCGCCAACCGGAGGTTGGGGCTGTGGCATTGACCGCCTCGTGATGATGTTCTCAGCCAGCAGCCGCATCAGCGACACGCTCCCCTTTGGCAGCCTGCGCAATGTTGTGAATGTAACTCAGGGGTCGCGAAGGTCATAAGGCAGACCCACCACCACTCCGTGTACAAAATATTATGTAATCAAGATGTAGACTACTAGATTAAACAAGATACCCCCCAGTTTTACTCGTATGCAAATCTTACACTATCTCTCTGTGAGTTCCTGGTTCTAGCATTCACCCACCTGCTGCTCCCACTGCCAAATGTCGGCTATCAGATGTCGAATGTGGATTTGGGTGCCTTTTGCTTCTTCGCAGGCTTCACATTGTAGATACGTTCGCTGTCGTCCTCAACTCAGGATCGTGCTCTTCCCCAATTTGTCTGCCGCAAGCTGTGGTCCAGGTAGGTGGTTGCGAATACACACTCCCGTCTCGGCCAACTTATGGTGAAGTCTCACTCATACGGTGGAGATTCCTACTACATCTACATCCCGTGTGGTGTTCTCTCATCTGTGGAGAGGAACAACTGGTGCTTCACGACACTATTTCACGAGCAGGCACAAGGCAGAAAGTATCACGGGTTTGGGTCATCGTGAGTTCGTTCCCATTAGGAAAGTCTATCTAGGAAATCTATGAAAACGAGAAAGGAAAAGCCTGCCCTGTGATCCGTAGTCGTCAAATCAAAATGCAGGAGAATTAGGCCCTGCCGATGTCCTGTCCATCGTTGGTCATCCGTCGAAACCCATCCACCAATGCTCTCTATCCTCGATCCTATCCTCCAGGCGTGAGATGCTCAGGGTGGGTGTTCGTGGCGCTGCATTCATATTCATAGGTGGTGAGGCCACATCGCCGAGCATTTAGCTGACAGGTAGATGATGGTAGAATACCACATGCTGTATGTCGTGCATACTCTGGTGCTGTGCTGCGAAGTCGTGCTGACGGACCGATGGACAGTGGTGAGAGCGGATATGGAAGGGACCCTGTCGGTGATATCAAGGGAATGTAGGAGATGCCGCCAAATCAGTAGTAATGCGCCTCTCTTCTGTTTGGTCTATTGTGCGCCGCGTGAAAAAGACAAAGAGCCACAAAACCCATCGCGGTAGAAGAACGACAATGCGCCACGCACGCCAACGAGGAAGCAGCGCAAAAAGACAGGCTGTGAAAATGCCAGGGGTATCACCACGCAACGAAATGCAGTGAATGTACAAAGGAAAGAAGAAGGGGAAAGAAAAAAGAGAAAAGGACTTGGGTTTGCTGTGCGCACAACTAAGGAAGACATGCCCTGTGCAGTAGAGCATGTCGCCGAGAGGGAGTATAGGGCATCGCCGATGATACCATGTCGCTGCTCTGTGCGACGAGCATCTCCAAACTCTGACGGTCGTAGATGTGCATGATGAACCAGCTTACCAGTTCATCAGGAAAGCTTGCTCGTAGGTCTCACGACGCTGAATGTTGTGAGGGCCGTTGATGGTGAACTCGCCTCGGTCGAGCTTGGCGCGGAATGCATACTGCTTGCGGCGGTAGTCCCAGTCGTACTCGGTGGCGCGGCAAGTGATGGGCTGGTATTGCTCCCCAATGAGAACCTTGAGGTCGGCAATGCGCTTCTCAACCTCGGCGATCTTGACATCCAGGTCCTTTCGGTCTCTGTAGTCGTCAAACTCCAGCCTCTCACGTCGCAGGGACTCCAGTTCGTCCTCCTTCTGCTGGATCTCAGTGATGGTGACTTTCGGATCCAACTGCGTTCGAACACCATACTCCGCCTTCTTCCAGTTGCGCGCAGCCTCCGGTGTGGTGAAGAGCCAGTCGATGTCAGGATCGCGAGCGTCGCGCCAGATCCAGCGGGCAATCTGCCGCATCTTGAACTTGTGGTTCTCTCCTTCCAATCCGAGCTGGCATATCAGCTCACAGCCCTCGCACTTGTACTGGGAGCGATGGCGGCTGTGAACCTCTGCTCGGAAAAGAGCACCCGGCAAAGTCTCACCGCAAGTCTGGCAGGGGAGATTACCCTCTCTGAAGAAGTCCTTGCGAACCACGGGCTTTGCTGTGGCTGCAGCAACGAGGTCTAACTTGGCGGACATGCCCATAGTCTGGTGCATCTCCTCGACCAACTTCTCATCGGCCTTGTGCGGGAATGTCTTCTCCGCCACCGACCACCCGTTGATGTCATGTTCGGCAAACTTTGCGACGGCAATGCACAAGCATTCGGCCTGGAAAGGCTCGAGAGGCAACTTGTCGAGCCAGAGTCGGAATGCCTTGCCGGGAGTGAACAGAGTGATGCCAGCCTGGCGGGAGGCACGCTCGAGAGGAACAAGAGCTGCCGCAAGGGCGCGCCCGGTGTCAGTGCCCCATTTGTTGAAGATCTTTGGGTCAGAGTGGGTGACACCGTAAGAGCCATACCGCTGGCCGATAGGTCCTTGACGTAGAGGGGGGGAGATGTCAAGGTCGAGCGGCCCGAGCTTGTTCTGTTTCTCACTGCGGGCAACGTTGATGGCACCAACCTTCTTGACGATAGGAAGGACTTCTCCGAAGTCGATTAGCTCGCAGCTGTAGAGACAGAAGTTCTTGAGACATGCGAGTTTGTCGAGGCATGCCTCCACGGTCTTGCGATCAAGGAACGGCATGCGTTCCAGAGTCAGGTTGTTGATACGATGGGCATGCAAGTGAAACGATTTGACTATGGACTTGTTAGAAATGAGACTTTCCTAGACATCAGGGGCATACTTACTCGTTCGCTTCAATGCCTCCATCTCGCGCTTGTAGTCTCTTCCACCGCGCTTATACTGGTAACCGACAGTCTCACGGAATCCGTGCTCGTTGAAGAGTTTGCGATAGTCACGCTCACTCTTTCTGGTGCCTTTCAGCCAGACCTTGGGTGGGAAGAAGACCGTGGGATCGCCCTTGAAACCATCGGCGAGGTCCAAGTTGTACCGTACCGGCCCAACGATCAAGGTTCGGGGGATTCGAATGTCGGCAACGTCATTCCATGTCATCTTCCCCTTGGCGATCAAGTCAGTGGTGTCTGCTGCTGACTTGTCGCAGTTACCGAAGTCAAGGCGGTTGCTCTTCCAGCGACCCTGATCACCACATTAGCATAACAATGCACATAGATAGCACTAGATAGACACTTACGAACGAGCCATCAATCACGCCAAATACAAACTGGCAAGTGCGGCTGAAGTTGGAGAGCGACTCGCGCCATGTGACCAGGTTCTCAACGATGATGGCGCTCAGTTCGGGTAATTTCATGACAGTAGAGAAGTGGTCGGGCTGGTCGGCTTGCTCATGTGTCAATGGCATGTTGCTCCTGCAGAAGGAAGCCTGTGAAATAAGTCAGCAGAGAACGTTGAGGAGGTACAGGTAACTTACTCTGGTGACCACACCACCAACATGGGGAAACATGGCCAGAGTGGCCGCCTTCAAGTCCATCTCAGATGGAACGAAGTCTGGCTCATCTGTGCCAAAGTTGGCCACGCGACGCACAGCAGGGTTGAGCCGCTGATTGTATTTGGCGTGTTCGTAAGCCCAAGGCTCACAGCTCTCCCTCTCGTATCCATGCTTGTCACCAATAAGGAAACGGTACCGGTGGACACCCTCGTAGTCCAGACGGTGAGGGGTGCCAACTTCGACGGGCCAGTAGGTGAGTATATGCGGACCGGGGCCGCTGATCAACCACTCCTCAAAAGCCTTGTTTGTCTCTCGGTAGAGCTTCTCGTAGGCGTTTCCGCCAACCTCCTCGTTGTACTTGTCCTCATCAGGGACATCGATGCGGAGGGTCTGGGATACCTCCATCTCGTTCAAGTAGTTGTGATCCATCTTGAGACGTGTGTGGATGTTAAGAGAGGATAGGTAAGGGGGTGAGGTCGAAGGAAATATGCTAGCGGAAACCTGGTATGATATCAGCTTAAGTCTTAGAATGCAGAGTAAAATAACACCACAAATGGTGTTGCAGGAAACGGAGTAATGGGGCCTCGAAAAGCGAAGAACGATATATGGAACAAGTCGGCACCTACTGGGTGATGCGGGATGGTATTCACAGAGAATACTGAGATACCGGGAACAGCTGGTAGAATTTAGTATCGGATTCAATTGAACTTGACAATAGAGGTCATGAAACAGATTTTGTTGCGTGGTCCGTTGTGTATAGAGACGGTCAATGGCCATCAGGAGAGTCAATTGAGTATCGCCGATCAAGTATCTCATTCTGTCGACGCTAGGCTGAGACCATCCAATCAAGGAGTACTCGATCAGGCAAAGCTCAATTGGAAGAGGGGAGAAACATGGTAGCAGACACAGAGTCTTGGGCGCTCAGGAATTGTTGGTCAAATGAAATGGCCAGTAGAAAAAATTAAGGCAATGGGCAATAATTGACAGACTGAAGATCAGAATGGATCAGACATACCTTGATACTGCGAGACGAAAGGGTGCCGCGGAAGGTACCGCGGGTATGTCGCGAAGAACGAGAAAGGATGCTTAAGGATACTGTATTCTTGGTGTCGGACTCAGATGCGAAGACAAGTTGTACTTGTGCTAGAAACAGCAAGTATTCGGTACCACGAAAGGAATGATGCGACTGCCAGATAGTTCAGCATATTACTCGTGAGGTTGATGGCGCAGGTAACGATGAGTTGCGAGGGCGTGATCATTCATCAATGTAGGCGGTAGGAGATTGTGAGGGAAGAGAACAGGATGCCAACTCCAAGGGCAGCGTGTGATGGATGGGTATGAGGTTTGATGTGTCAAGCATACAGTCAGATTCGACTGTGAAGTTCTTGATGAGGGATGGTAGAAAGTAGCGTGAAGGAAGTGATGGATGTTCAACGGTAGGAACGGTGCAGAGCAGATAGTCAACTCAGTATGGCTGAGTGGGACTTCACCCTGGACGTACCAATTCAGCCCTAAGATCGAGGCAACTGCAATTCACTTCACAAGAAGTGTGAGTGCTGTAAATGACCTGCCAGGCAGAATTGGCCAGAGGTGGAAGGATCAGAGTTGATAATGGTGAAGAAACTGGTGGGGGAGAGTCTTGGCCAGCGATGTTTGTGTGATTGGTAACGAGACCTCAGTGCTGCTGCACGCGTTGATGAGATTTCAGTTACCTCCAATGGCTCATGGTCATTGTGAGGCAAGAATGCAGCGATTGTTGCGAGACAGCTGTTGCGAACAGACGGGATGCAAGGGGCAAGGGTAAAGGGCTGAGAGGATACTTGAAGACAGAGGAAGTACTTACCAAGAAGACACCACCGAATCAATGCTGGATTGTGAGTGCTGTCGAAGTCTTTATCGCAAAGCTCAATCCTTAAGAGGAAGTCAGTAAAGGAAGGGGTGATTGGTCGCAATTAGGAAGACACGGTTGTGGGAGACGGTGGTTGAAGGGTCCAACCACGACAGTAGACTTGGGGCGGGCGGCTGAATACCAGCAAGGAAAAAAAACGAGACCGACAGGGCCTTCAAGAGAACTGGAATTTGCACTGGATGGTGCCTTGGGTTTCTGTGGTTTCCAGGGGTGATGATGATGCGGGATAGTAGGTGGCAGCAGAGAAAGGACGTAATTGAGTGTAGAAAAGAGAGGTGCTCTTCCTGAAATTTTTTCGTGATCAAGACCGCGATTCCATCGACCTTTCTGAGATAATGCAGAAGGAGACAGGGGGGCTCACTTTGGATGAGTAGTCGGGATGGGATAGAAGACAGCAATGCTGGCGACTTTTAGGGAGCACCGTGGGTGAACAAGATCCGTTACGGCTGGTGAAGAGAGGGCCACACCAAACAAAGAGTTCTGAGCTCAATGTCGTTGCGCTACTTAAGGTAGTGATTGTGAGAGAGGCAGGAGAGAACGGGACGCGAGAGGAAAAAAAGTCTGGATCGCAATGACTCTCAACTTGCTTCTGGTTCTTTGGCGTGAAGACAAGTGAGACGGTGCAGAAGGATAGGTCCGTGAAATTTCTGTTGATGGTGAACAGCGAGTCGTTTTAGGGAGGACTGTGATGATTTGATTCCATGAAAAAGGCCAAGAACTTACCAGGTGTGGCGATGATGGTAACGAAGAAGATGAGGAGGGTGAGGATGAGGAGGGGGAAAGGATGGTCAATTTCAAACCGAAGCAAGGTTTTTATACCTTCACCAAAAAATCACAGGGCTTCTATACCCAGGCATCGGCGATGTGAATACACCCAATGGGAATAATAGGGCAACGTGAATACTAGGGCTGCGTCAATACTAGGATAATGTGAACACTAGGGCAGGCGCCATGATAGCGATTGTTCTTTGTTTGGCAATAGTATAAAGTGAACAGACTAGTAAGTGGGTCCGACAAACGTCGTTGACAACCGCCCCTGATTGGTATACCTTTACCCTACCCATATTGTCGTGACAACCTCACCGAGATTCATTGTGTCGAGGCAACGATTACTTCGGCCATCAATTCCTTGCTAGGTCTATGCGAGACAATCGCCGAACATAGGATCTGCAGCACGTGGGTGTCGGCAAACTCTCCAACTCTTCGCCTTCTTATCTTGAGTTACTAAGTGATGCGGGCCATTGGGACGGAAATGGTTCTAGTGGATGAACAGTCGACAGTACGTCGCTTCCCAGGTTGGGATGAGCTGCTGAGACAACGAGTCAAAGTTACGAGTTTGATCCCGTGGGCTTCGTCGAATCCGCCACGCAGAAGAAGGTTGCAAGGTTGACTTCATCATGGACAAAATATGCTGGTATCTCGGCATATGGAGCATTTCGGAAGAAGCTCTTAAGTAGCGAGAATTGAAGATGTGTGACATCACGTCCATGGATAGCTCGGTTCTCAACAGGGGGCTGCATGGACGCACCTACTGCGAGTCAACGCCTTTCCTCGTATTCAAGGATCAAGATGATCTGCAGTGAATTGACCCAACATAACGTAGCGGAAACCAGAGAGCCTCTCTGCCCTGTCAGGGTCCAAGGGAGTAATGTGTTGACACCACAATGCAGTCCTGGTCAGCATCGGAAAGATTGAACGATGAAGATGTGTTAATGTCACCGAGAACGATGCTCAACTTGATGGCTTATGCGAAATAATTGTATACGTGATACTCAATATCACCAAATATTGCTTTCCAAAGTATTGAGGCACTTGAGTATTAGAAGCCACTCCGTACGGTTTCATATGTTAAACAGCTCACTCAACGGAAGACTAAGACCCCTGTTCCCTCAAGGATGATCGGTGTGGAAGAAATACGAGCCAGTGCGAGTCAAAAGTGTAGCAGACTTGGAGTGGAAGTCGATAGATATTTACTCGGTGGAAGATTAATAATATTGGAACTTCTCGCGGGTATGGGTGCTGTGTCATCATCCACCGTGGCTTGGTGAAATCTTGCACCGCCCTCCAGCACGTTCGTGGGCGAAGTACTGACGAACTGCCTCCGCTCACAAGAGGCGATACTACTCCCACCAAGCTCGGTATCCCATCAGTGATCTAGTATTGCTATATGATGTTCATCGACATTGCCTGGTTAAAGAAGTCTACTTATGGGCGTGCCTTGCTTGATGGCTGTCGAATTGCGCCTTGCCTGCAACAACGCACAGCATGTTGACGCTGTGCGTTGTTCACGCCATTACTCACTAGACCACAGTCGTTGAGAGGCCAGGCGAGCATTACATCTGATTGTGATGTTGCGCGTTTCACTGGCAACCGCTCAACCGAGATCTAGAGGAGCTTCCTAGAAGTGAGATTTGCTAGATGACCCGAAAGCTGCGGTATCAGCCCGCATAAGTCTGGAAATGGAGAGGTAGCGACGCGGGTCTAGAAGGGAAATATTAACATTCTGAGAAATAGAGCACCCTCAGGTATAAGATGCCTGCCATTTGTGAGAATTGGGCTTCATCATGGGGTAGCGCCATCTTCTGAACATGCAGTCGACAGGCGGGTATTCATACTTCCAGACGACTAACGGCAGGGAACCGTAATTTGAAATGCTTTGCCTTCGCGAGGAAGTGTTTACAAACTGAGGCAAGAAGACTCCCGGTGATCGGGGCAGTCTGTTGTATACTCAGGATTTGGCCAGTGGCCCCCGAAGAAGTCGTTTCCCCTGATGTGAAGTGCCAGCAAGCTTCATACAGCGGCCATGCTACACTCCCTACCATAGGCACCAATTCGTTGGGTCGACGATGTCAGCAACAACTCAGATCAGCCAGTATGGTATCTCAGGCTGGCAGAATTTCTTGAGACCGGCATATTTTGGGCCAAGCTTGCTTGCTGTTGAATCCCTTTAGGCTCGGTGAACATACAAACCTGGCAGTGCCAATCCAAGCGAATCCTCAGCAAGTTTTGTTTGCCTTGTTGGATCGTCCCGGTGTCCCGGCGTGTCAGCCAGGCTCTATTTAGTCCTCCTGTTGGTGTAAATGTGGTGTCAATGTTGCTAAGTTGCCATCGAAGGATACTATCGTGGAAATGACGGGTAAATAGGGAGACCGTTCTCTAAATGACCGAGTCCGTTGGCTATGAGCAGTATGAGCCCATATGTCCAAGGCTTGGTATATCATCATGATCTTCGTGTATCAGTCATACGCGGTGGGCGTGAAGGAGAGTACTCAAGCTTTCACAGGGCATTGGATCTTCTATCACGGGCACATCCATGGATTACCAGGGCGAGCTCATAATTTTGACTTGTGTGAATTTGGCCCGTCTTCATCTAAGTCTAAACCGACACACTGAAACGGGCATGGGCAATTCGCGGCGCCTGCAATGCGGCTACTTCAATGGTCCTCTACAGTTGATACTTTGCATACGAGGCTGAATGGGCCCTGCTATGGTACGTTTGTCATCTTCAGCATCTTCAGCT